TCCCCTCCCCGGGAGTGGGAAGGGGGAGCCCCAGACTCCCGGGCTGGCGATCCAACTGCCGGCTGGATGTCGAAAACATGCAAAAAACACCGCCGACCGGGGAGGGAGGGAGGGAGGGATGCCGAAGAGCCTCTGGGGCTCAGCCAGAAAATGGCGTTTCATTACATTCAATGCAGATTTTCTGGAGGAAGCCCCGTCAGCTCCCTGGAGCTAACTACATAAAGACAAGGAAAAACACAGGGACTTACCCTTACTCCTCAATGTGAAGTCGAGAAAACTGGTTGCAACCACCGACCCAATGCAACGCAGGCCCTACCAGGTCCAGGGACATTGTCAAGATAGCGAGTGGCCAGGGCCTTGTTCAACCTTCAAAAACCCCGTTCCCAAATATCAACCCAAGACATGTTGCCAAAGACGGCAGCCAAAGCAGCCAACTTACTAACATCGTGGGCACGGGGATAGACCGCAGGCTGGCTAGACTTCATTAACTCTACAGACGACCTGGGAGACCCGAGCCCAGGAACAAGGAAGGAGGGAAACCGGGTCAACCATAAGCGCATCCCCAGCCACCGAAGCCGTGGTGCGCAAATAGCAACAGAGAGTCGCAACTGGACACAACACTTGATACACCCCCGGCCTGACCAACCAAGCATCAACAATTCAAGGACCCATCCGGAAAGCAACAGTCTCCTCCTTTGCCAGAAAAGAAGGAGCCGGCTGCAACCGAACAAACCTACCACAAGGACCAGAAGAGCAGAAACCCCTGCGCTGGAGGAGAGCATGAAGCTCTCCGACCCGACTTGAGGCCAATGCCGAAACACACACACACACAGACAGACAGACACACAGACAGAGACACACAGACAGACAGAGAGAGAGAGAGAGAGAGAGAGAGAGAGGGGGGAGGGGGAGGAGGGGGAGGAGGGGTGGGGGAGGAAAAAAAAACAATCCTGAACCGAAGGGGCCACTACAAATCAAGGAGAAAAGAGAGCACCTGAGCCAAAGACCAGGACGGCTCAGGAGGAGCATGAGCAGGCCGGAGATGAAACCGCACAAGACAGCTTGAAGAACAGGGCAGAAGAAACATCAATACCGAAAGCAAGCTGGAGCAGCTCCGCCAGATCCGCACGATACGAGGCAACAGTATTCGGCATAAGATGACAGCAACCACGAAAGGAAGGACAAGACAACCCTATCAGAGACTGAACTACACCTATGCACGATAGGAAAAACCAGAAGGACCACCAGGAAACTTCATACTGCCTCCGAGACGAAGCACGCAGGTGGGAGACCAACAACGAAGCCACCTGCGCCCTATACAAGTGATGATACTCTAGTCAGAAACTCCAGATGCAAAAACTCGAGGAGAAGAACGAACCAGCCTCGTACCGGGCTGGACCGATCTGCTGAAAGAGGTGGAGCGGTGGGAAGACCCTCGGGTTCGGACACCGAGACAGCAGCACCTGAAACCAAGGGTGTGCTGGACACCAAGGAGCCTGGAGCAACATCTGAACTGGGGAGGGGGGGGGAGGGAAAGAGGTACAGGTCGCCCACTCCTGCCAGGCGTCGACCTTGATGGCCTCGCAGTGAGGGAAGGGCAACACGTATTCCGGGAGATGCCGCGACCACGCCGACGTGAAGAGATCCAGTTCCAGAGGCCCAAACGTCCGGCAGAGCTAACTGAATGAGTTGGCGTCGACCGTCCATTCCATGGACATGGGAATGAACCGGGACAGGTCGTCTGCCAGGACAGGCTCCCGCACAAACCCTCCAGTGACCGCCGTGACCCAGGAGCCCCCCAAAAACAAGCACATGCGGGATCGCAGCCAAAGGAGAGACTCCGGTGGGAGAGACAAGGAAGAGGTCCGAGAGTCCCACACAAGGCCCAGCCAGGTCCGAACCCAAGAGGGAACCAGATGTCCGGGACTTCTGTCAGTTCACCAGAAACCCGAACCCAGCTAGCTGGGAAAGCACCAAGCTCCTGGCGAGCAGACACTAGGACTGACTGGGAGCCCAGACCAGCCAGTCGTTGAGGTAAGCCAACACCCGAACACCTAAACGACGCAGACGGACCACCATATCTCAGGTGAGGTGTGTGAACATGCGAGGTGCCAGGTTCAACCCGAAAGGGAGACAATGAAAGCAGAAACTCAGACGCCCCACAACAAGACTGAGCCAGTCCCTGAACCCCGGATGAAATGGGGCGTGCCAATAAGCGTCCTCGAGATCCAGGGACACCATCCAAGCACCCGGCTCCAACAGAAGCCGGATCTGGGACAGAGTGGTCATCTGAAAGTAGAGGCAAGAAACCCAGAGATTCAGACGTTACAAGTCCAGAATTAACTGCAGGTCTGCACAGTTCCATTTTGGAACTGGAAACAACGGGAAACCCACCCGAGAGACGTCGTCGTTTCGACAACGCCCAAGCACACCCACTCCGAGATGACCCAACAGAGCGCAGGAGCGCACAGCGCAGAGCACAGGCCTGCCCTGCCAGCCCCAAAACCCCCTCGAAGGAGGAGCCACCCAACGCCATTGCAGACCGCGAGAAAAGACTTTAAAAGCTACGAATCGTAAGCCCACAAAGCCCACGGAGCGTGAGACCAGGCGTGAGTGAACAGAGCAAGCCTCCCCCCCCCTCCCTCCACAAAAGGGCCGACGCCCCTTACAAGAACCTGATCTGCGCACAAAGCGATCACCCCCGCCAACCAGATGCAGATGGTTCCGAAAGCGGCATCGGCTACAAAACTGGCACCTGTGGCTTACCCCGATGAGCGGAACCCAGAGCCCTGGCCTAACCCCTCCGGGAAGAACCCATCTGGGACCTCCGGAGAACCAACAAGTTGTACTTCGGACGATAGCTGGAAGCCGCCGCCTGCATATAATGCTCGACCACAGAGTCCGCAAACAGCAAAGGACAAAAGGGCGAAGACTACCTAAGAGCCAGAGCCCAAGCGGATTCCAAGGAGGAAGCAAACACAACCTGCCGACATGTGAGACGCGCAGTGAAAAACCACGACAGTGCATCCCACAGGATCGGCGCAAACAGCTTCAAAAGCGCAGATGACGCTCGAGCTAAGGCACCAAACCCAGGAACAGCTCCAAGCGCCTCTACATCCTCCGCAAGCTAATCCGAAGACAGCTCCAAGATGGAAAAAGAAACGCAAGGCCGAAGCCAGCAAGCCACGAACTCTTAAGTCCTCAACCACAAGCACAACCGACAAGGAGGGAACCTGCACATGAAGCTGAATCACAACCACATCTCGCAGAAGGATAGGCGCGAAAAAAATATCAAGGTGCTCAAAGTCGCCCCCCAGGTAAACCTGGACCACAGTCAATATCTCGTGCCACTCAAGTGTGTGGGTACGACAGAAAGTGCCCCAAGCATCCAACGACGACAATGGGCAGTCCACTAACCAGGATGACTCCAGAACCTCATAACAATCCCAATATGGAGACGAAGATCCAAATCTGAAGGAAGACGGATCCATTATAGAGGAATATTCCTGGTCGCGCAGGAGGCAAGTCGCAGTGGCTGCCCGCACCTCAGCAGGCGAGACGTAGGAAGCCGAAAACCTCCGGAAGAACGGAACCAAACCCGGGGAGGAGCCAAATCCAACTCAAACACAGAGGGGGGGGGGGGAAGGAAAACCCCACTCCTTGTAACAGTAAGCCCCGCTCCGAGGGTCGGAAAACCCAGGCAGGTATATTTGTACCCCGGGTGAAACCCGGGAACCTCCACATTAGGCCGTGGGGGCGAGTCATCCTCCTAAGCCCCGACCCCCCCACATGCAGCTCACAGATGAGCCGCAGACATGCGGCGCGGCTCGTAATTACCCAAGTGTCACATGATTGTGTAACGTCATGCTTGTTTACTCATTTTCATTTGGGAATTTATGTCCACTAGTTGGTCTATTTTCGTCGTTTTAACCAAATATCGATGGCAGATATAGAATGCTTCAAATCCAGCTATCAAACAAGAGCAGCTAGTAGTCCAAATTCTTCCTGGAAGTCTCAGCCTTAACTTATTATGGTTCGGGCCTCCTCATGATCTAATTGGTGCCAAAACTACTCTAGGGAAAATAGGAACAGGGACAGGACAACCAACATCTCTTGAATCAGGTGGTGAAGTGACGAGTCTCGCCGCCCGCGGGAAGCTTGTCGGCATTACGTTACTGTCTTGCAAGAAGGTGATTGGTCCAGACCACCTTCCTCTACTCAGTTTGAACTTGCAGGTTCAATGGGCCACCTGGAAATCCCTACTTCAACCCAGGAGTCACTCTGCCTCTGATTCTTCCGCCTCACAACATTTCCTCTTGACTTTCAAATCGGTCATTTATTAGTCTACTTTATTCTTACCATCTACATTTATCTATTATCAAATCCCAATTATATATATATGTCCTCAAATACTGAGGGAACAACTCTTGCTCAGGAACAACTCTCACCTGGAGGCAGCCTAGGCTACAGCGACTCTTAATCATGACGAGGAGTAAGACAATGCTCCCTAAAGAGTGAGGTAAAGGGTATATACAGAGGCACAGACAGGGATGAAAAAATGTAAATCATCACAAGGACTAAAGCCAGAGAAAACCAAGACATGCTATGGGCCAGAATCCAATGTTGCAACAGACGAGACAGATGGACCTCCACAGTTAAGGCAATGAACCACTGGAGCACAATGTCCATGTGCAGATGCTATCACAGAAGACTGGGTTTCAACAATACCTGTACAGTACATACAGTACTGGTCTTAAAAGCGGTCGTAAATCCAGCGAGACGCTATATTACAGGTCTTTAAATCGGGTGAATACCCGAGTTAGACCTATCGGGATAAGGGGTAGTCCTTGATACAAGCCTAAGTACAGGATTCTTGTCCCTGACAACAAGAATTATCAAGTTATAATACTCATCTTACACGTGCAGGATTCAATCAGGACATTTATGACTGTGAATGTTGCTGGAAATAACCGAGTCATTAGAAAAACCATGTAGCTTACCCAGTTTTCAGTTGTTCTTGCTCTTTCCAACAGCTTCTTTTGTAACTGAACTCCAACTCCCTCTGGTGCACTAAACTTCTTCACAATATCCTCCGTAATTTGGAATTCTTCATTTGTTACGAGAGGTTTCACTGTTCTGTAAAACAAGTTATTTCTTAATTTTTAAAATGCAGGTTTTACTACCATTTGTACAAATTGCTTATCATATTACTTTAAAAATCATACTGCCAGTACCTCAAACGTGTACTGGACAAACAGACAATTAGTCCCAATAATACAAGACGAGTCCAATAAATCAGAAATAAGTTAACAGCCCTGTGACCTGGGGCTCAAGGGGGGGCTAAACCCAAGAGACAGACTGAGCACTCAGCCAGGAGACCCCAGAGCACAAGTCAGAGAAACAAAGGCTTAATGTCTGGAAGCCTACTGCACAATTGCACACTGCTGGTAGCCCGGGAACCCAGCCCTGGAGATTATGGTCACTTGACCCAAAGACCAAGGCTAGGGAATACACAACAATACACAACCCTATGCGTGCTAGTGGCTATACAAGAATGTAAGAACTCTTGTATATATAAATAAAATAAAAAAATAAAAAAATATTGGCTTAAAGTTTTGCAATGTTCGAGTCATTTTGCATGAACCAGGGATAGTCTACGTCTCCACTGACCAATAATGGTTAACCAATGACTGCACATTTGCTAGAAGGCCTCTGCTATTGTTTCAATAAATTGGTCCCCTTTGACTTATAAGGAAGTTGCTGGCCGGGTGCTGCATCTTTACGATGGAAAATGGAAATGTTTCTCGGATCATATTGCTATCAATTCACAAGGAACAGATAAAATATAGAGTCCATATGGTGGAATCAATTAAGCATCCCCGAACTCCCATTAAACGGCTTCATTATTTTCTTCAAGATATATCGTGTAACTGACATTTCATTGTGCTTGTGTGGAATATATTGTCTACCCAGAAGATGGTCATTCTTTAGTTTGTAGAAGCATTTAGTCCAATATCTACTAATTATTTTCTTAATCACAAGATGATGTATTTATTCATCACAATTTAGCAAATATTTACATCATGGTAAACTTCACCAAGATGAACTGTAAAGAATATTTTACTAACATATTACCCTTCAACCAAAAGTGTACAATATTATAATTCATGGATAAACAAGTTACCATAAGGAAATACAGGTACTGTAATCGACGCAAGCTACTCACCTTAAATATTTGTTGAGTGTGTCTTCAAGTGGAGGAACAGGAAGACGAGGCAAAATTGACTGGTCATCTTGTAGTGTTCTTATCTGGGCAACCATTGTCACATTACTTGCTTTAATAATTCTTCCAAACCTTAGTCCCTGTCAATACAAAAATAAGGTTATGTAGAACTGAAGACAAGAGCAGTTCATTACATACATATATCATGCAATTATCACTTTATTAAAAGCCTGAATAAAACAAACTGATGGTGTTAATAAACTGTACCTCTAATTGAATTACCGGTAATACAGATCAGATGAATTAGGTCATAAAGGACTAAACATTTTAGGAAGAAATGAAACAAACCTATGTTTCAAATGACTAGAGAATTTGCTGAAAAAGTAGCTGGGAAAGCCACAAATTGCAAATACCCAAAGCAAGCGTAGAAGGCAAAATATAAAGAGAATTGTCAACAAATACAAAACTGGTATAGAACACAGTAGCATAATGGTCAATGTCCTTGCCTCAATCAAATAATCAAGGGATACAGGTTCAATTCCCAGGTGGGACAAATGGTTTGGCACATTTATTTTTATCTGATGCCGCTGTTCACCTAGCAGTCTGAGGAGCGAGGCACTGTAGTGGGCTGCATCCTGTGGAAGGTCAAGTAGGTGGCTTATGAGGTAGCAATATGGCTAAGCACACGTATCCTATTGTCCTTGACAACAGTAATTATACTAGACAAGCAAAGTGCTAATCATTTTTGGATTCAGAGAGAAGGAAATAATATTAAGGATATAAAAGGACCATAGAAGAAAAAAACTTGGCAAATGTTGTAGATACCTGTATGTATAAGATATCTCATAACCAAAGAAGATATCTGACTGCCCGAAACGCTTTGCGTAATAGTGGCTTTAGGCATTGTATGTACTAGCTCTATCTATAAAGCCAACAAACTTTGTAAAATCTCTTTATGTATGTACCTTTACCTAAATAAAAATTATTATTATTATTATTATAGAATTGGCAGGTATGAAAACTTGAAATAAATAATCTCCTAAGGGTGCCTAAACTGGAAAAACAAATAGCAAAGTGCTCAGAAAAAAACAGAAAAATTTCAAAATAAAGGCAACCTGTGATCACTAAAAGGAAGCTTTTAAAATGAAAATAAGGGTTTCAGAGTCATAAGTCAGCAAACTAGGAAACATTATGTGCTACCCCCCAAAGCCCACAATCTTGTCAATGGTGGCACTGTCGTGGCTTCCAATAGTATACAAGTCACATTGTATAAAAAGACAGTTGTGCCAACAAACTTTGAAACCTAACTATTCTTAACCAACTCAACCTAATTTAACCTAAGCCAACCTAACTTAAACCAATACATCCTAACCAAACAATATATACAGTATATAGTATTTCAACCAGAGAAAGATCTTTGTAAAGATCTTTCCCTACATAATTGGCAAATAAACATTATACAACTTTATAATATTCCAGGATGGTCCAGAACATCATTTCCTTTATTTTCAAATGTGTGGGTTGTTGCCGCGACACCGTCTGCCCCCCGTTGCCGCGACACCGTCTGCCCCCCGTTGCCGCGACACCGTCTGCCCCCCGTTGCCGCGACACCGTCTGCCCCCCGTTGCCGCGACACCGTCTGCCCCCCGTTGCCGCGACACCGTCTGCCCCCCGTTGCCGCGACACCGTCTGCCCCCCGTTGCCGCGACACCGTCTGCCCCCCGTTGCCGCGACACCGTCTGCCCCCCGTTGCCGCGACACCGTCTGCCCCCCGTTGCCGCGACACCGTCTGCCCCCCGTTGCCGCGACACCGTCTGCCCCCCGTTGCCGCGACACCGTCTGCCCCCCGTTGCCGCGACACCGTCTGCCCCCCGTTGCCGCGACACCGTCTGCCCCCCGTTGCCGCGACACCGTCTGCCCCCCGTTGCCGCGACACCGTCTGCCCCCCGTTGCCGCGACACCGTCTGCCCCCCGTTGCCGCGACACCGTCTGCCCCCCGTTGCCGCGACACCGTCTGCCCCCCGTTGCCGCGACACCGTCTGCCCCCGTTGCCGCGACACCGTCTGCCCCCCGTTGCCGCGACACCGTCTGCCCCCCGTTGCCGCGACACCGTCTGCCCCCCGTTGCCGCGACACCGTCTGCCCCCCGTTGCCGCGACACCGTCTGCCCCCCGTTGCCGCGACACCGTCTGCCCCCCGTTGCCGCGACACCGTCTGCCCCCCGTTGCCGCGACACCGTCTGCCCCCCGTTGCCGCGACACCGTCTGCCCCCCGTTGCCGCGACACCGTCTGCCCCCCGTTGCCGCGACACCGTCTGCCCCCCGTTGCCGCGACACCGTCTGCCCCCCGTTGCCGCGACACCGTCTGCCCCCCGTTGCCGCGACACCGTCTGCCCCCCGTTGCCGCGACACCGTCTGCCCCCCGTTGCCGCGACACCGTCTGCCCCCGTTGCCGCGACACCGTCTGCCCCCGTTGCCGCGACACCGTCTGCCCCCGTTGCCGCGACACCGTCTGCCCCCCGTTGCCGCGACACCGTCTGCCCCCCGTTGCCGCGACACCGTCTGCCCCCCGTTGCCGCGACACCGTCTGCCCCCCGTTGCCGCGACACCGTCTGCCCCCCGTTGCCGCGACACCGTCTGCCCCCCGTTGCCGCGACACCGTCTGCCCCCCGTTGCCGCGACACCGTCTGCCCCCCGTTGCCGCGACACCGTCTGCCCCCCGTTGCCGCGACACCGTCTGCCCCCCGTTGCCGCGACACCGTCTGCCCCCCGTTGCCGCGACACTGTCTGCCCCCCGTTGCCGCGACACCGTCTGCCCCCCGTTGCCGCGACACTGTCTGCCCCCCGTTGCCGCGACACTGTCTGCCCCCCGTTGCTGCGACATTGTCTGCAGACACATTCAAAAATATTCCCAAAGGCAGACATTTACAACCCTGTACTCGCCTAGTTGTGCTTGCGGGGGTTGAGCTGTGGCTCTCTTGTCCCGCCTCTCAACCGTCCATCAACTAGTGTACAGATTCCCGAGCCTACTGTCCTATGTTGATCTTAATTTTACACACATAATACAGTGACATCTTTATCACTTCAGTTCAAACAAATAATTTCATCTCTTGCACCGTCTCGTCACTTCTTCACACCGCTTGCCCAATGACTGACGAGACAACCATGCAGTTAGTGAGGCACAACCCTTAAGGTAAGGCTGAGGGTTGGTCCAGCCGCAACACTCACCTGCCGGAGCACAACGAGGGCTGATAAAGCCATCTTGTAACACCGTTCACGTCCCGTGTGAGGGAGGTCGTGTGGGGATTATCAGTGGCGTGTGGTCACAACAGTTCCAAAGTCCAGCAGGAGATGGGACGTCTGGCTCACGTCCAACACCCCTCGCTCAGCTGTTACTACAACTACGTCCAATTCAGCCTCAGGAAATAAATAACCTGATTTACTAATTATCTACTTATCATCTAAATCATCAATTGGTTAAAACTTAATATAATTTTATCTAAGACAAATTTAAACTAAACTTTAAACATCCTATATTTATTTGTATTTTTTGTTTCTTATTTTGTGAAAGTAACTGATTTAATCCGTATATGATACTGCGCTGGACTGCATTCAACCACCCCAACGATAACCGGGACATACATTATAACGTTAGATCATACTGTGAGAGGGATGTAATGAAATGTATGAATGTATGTAATATATATATATATATATATATATATATATATATATATATATATATATATATATATATATATATATATTGGGGGTACCACCTCTGGTGGAATTGCAGGGACCCATATCCTCGAAGAAAAAAACAAAGAGCATTCAGAGAAGACCTTGTGGATTCTCACTGAATACTTTAATCTTTTCCTCTCCTACCACTCCTATTATTTTTGGTATGTTTTGTTTATTTTTGTTTTATTTTATTGCAATGCTACAGTTTACAGAGAACACACACATATAGATAACAATAAAACAATCAGCGTTCGAAGACCTCGTCCAGCTCCTCGGTGGTTGGGTGCGTACCCAGGATACAGCACGCATTTCCTCTCTGAACTGCGACATTGAGGAGGCGCTGGAACAGGAAACTGGCCGCTCATGGGACTCTAGTTTTCCCAATGAGTTCCTCACCCACCTCCTATAAAAACTTAAGTGCACATTTACCCCAAGCGTCCAGAGTCTCAGAGCCTATCGGCACGAACCTGTAACAACGTTCTAGGTCTCTGTACTTGTTGATTTTCTGGGTCTCCCTGAAGGTGGCTGCCCCACCTCCCTCTGCTGAACTGTAACATAGATAGGTATCAGCAGATGCACGTGTGTAATCCCATACAACCTGTTTACCTTCCCTCCATGGCTGCAGGGTGACTCCATCTGGGCGTTTTTGGCTGTTGTCAGGTCTGCACAACTGAGGTTCCCTTTGTGCTGGACACCCAGCTGTAGCCAAACATCTCTTGATGATGTTATTGACTGCTTCATGTCTGGCAATCTTTCCCTGTGTCTTACGACAGATGAGACCATTGCTGCCGTATTGATCTGCCCGTGCATGGCCGCAAACACACCGGTGTTCGGTGGAAATAAGGAGGGTAAGGCGCAGGGCAACACCAATACTTAGGGCCCGATGGTCCAGGCGGGTGCCCAGACCGGAATTAAGGACTGCCAACAGGAAGTCCCCAGCATGGGGGGCTTGCACAGCTAGGAGACGCGCTCTGTCCTTCTGAGAAGCTGCCTCCAGCAATGCTTTGGTGATGTTCTCCACTATGGGGCTATCCCATTTGGCCTGTTTGCCGTCGTTTGGAAAGTTGGTCGAGTGTGTGAATTGGCAAGTGTCCCACTGACCAGCTCCCACAAATTTGGGATCACGAATCCCAATGGAGTTCCTTAGGTATTCTGGTAGTATTTCATTCACTAATTCACTGGTAGCACTGGTCGAGGATAAGAATGCCGGCAATGCTAACTGTATATATATTTATATAATTTTTCAATATTAAAATCACAATAGAATGATATTAATTAACAGTTAAAATCTTCTACTTAACAGGCATATAGTTATTAAATGAAGTTTAGTGATGTGATGGACATGATCCGGGGCTTGGTGAGGACGCCGCCCGCCAGCATAATCACTACACACTAGCGTTGTGGGAAAGAAAAAATAAAAGGTTGATTGACAGTTAAGAGGCGGGCCGAAAGAGCCAGACCTCAACCTCCACAAGCACAACTAGGTGTATACACCCGAATGGCCACAAACATGATCGAACGCACAAAACACAAACTTTTGCCAGTTTTTGGATAAACTTATTTTACATTTATATGTGAGTTATACTTGTACATAATAATAGTGACGTAGAAGCTTTTTGTGTACTGAACCGATGGTATCTGAAACGGTAGTAGACGATTTGGCACCCACATCCAGGGACTCCAAACCCGGAGACCGTCGTGGTCGGGACTGGAGAAGAACCACCCCAGCAAGAGCAAGGACGACCCTAGCCTCCCGAAGTAGAGCTTGGGCCACACAAGCCCCAGGAGGTGGACGTCCGAGCCCCACGCCTATGGGATCCAGACAGACAGGCAAGGGACACTGAACCAAAAAGGGTGACAGGCAAGAGGCACTGAACTACAGGCCAGTTTCCCTAACTTGTATACCATGCAAGGTGATGGAGAAGTACAAGTTCAAGTATGTTTATTGAGACAAGAAAGAAATACATCTCAAAGGGATAGAGTAGCTTAGGTTATTTCTACCCCCTGATGGAGAAGATTGTGAGGAAAAGACTCGTAGAGCATCTAGAGGGAAATAGCTTTGTAACACACCATCAGCATGGGTTCAGAGATGGTAAATCGTGCCTCATAGGTTTAATATAATTCTGTAATCAAGCAACAAAAATTAGGGAAGAAAGAGAAGAGTGTATTTTCTTGGACTGTTAGAAAGCCTTTGACACAGTACCCCATAAAAGGCTGTTACGAAAGTTGGAGCAACAGGCAGGAGTAAAAGGTAAGGTGCTCCAGTGGATATGGGAGTATCTAAGCAACAGGAAACAACGAGTAACTAACTCTGGTTTCCCTTCAAAACGCATAAATCTTTTGCCTTTTACTTTTTTAACGAGTAACTGTGAGGGGGGAGACATCAGAGTGGCAAGATGTCACCAGCGGAGTCCCATAGGGCTCTGTACTTGGACCCATCCTGTTTTTAATATATGTAAACGATCTTCCAGAGGGTATAGACTCGTTCCTCTTAATGTTTGCTGATAATGCAAAAATTATGAGAAGAATCAAGACAAATGATGATAGACAGAGAGTACAGGACGACCTGGACAAGCTGGATGAATGGTCTAGAAAATGGCTACTAAAGTTCAACTCAGGAAAGTGTAAAGTAATGAAATTAGGCAAAGGGAGCAGAAGACTGAACACAAGGTACCATCTGGGAGGTGAAATTCGCCAAGAGTCAAATAAAGAGAAAGATATGGGGGTTGATATCACACCGAACCTGTCCCCAGAGGCCCACATCAAAAGGATATTATCAGCGGCACGATATATTATCGATATAACGTTCTTATGTTAACTGGCCAACATAAGAACTGCCTTTAAAGATATGTGTAAGGAATCGTTCAGGACCCTGTATACCACTTTTGTCAGAAGAATCCTGTAATATGCAGCTCCAGCCTGGAGTCCATACAGGCTTGATAGAATTCTACGATCAGGTGACACAGATTAAGCAAGAAAGAGAGGGCTGGGCGGACTGCATTTTCTTGGATTGTCGGAAAGCCTTTGACACAGTACCGCATAAGAGGCTGGTACATAAGCTGGAGAGACAGGCAGGTGTAGCTGGTAAGGTGCTCCAGTGGATAAGGGAGTATCTAAGCAATAGGAAGCAGAGAGTTACGGTGAGGGGTGAGACCTCCGATTGGCGTGAAGTCACCAGTGGAGTCCCACAGGGCTCTGTACTCGGTCCTATCTTGTTTCTGATATATGTAAATGATCTCCCGGAGGGTATCGATTCATTTCTCTCAATGTTTGCGGACGATGCTAAAATTATGAGAAGGATTAAAACAGAAGAGGACTGTTTGAGGCTTCAAGAAGACCTAGACAAGCTGAAGGAATGGTCGAACAAATGGTTGTTAGAGTTTAACCCAACCAAATGTAATGTAATGAAGATAGGTGTAGGGAGCAGGAGGCCAGATACAAGGTATCATCTGGGAGAGGAAATTCTTCAGGAGTCAGAGAAGGAAAAAGACTTGGGGGTTGATATCACGCCAGACCTGTCTCCTGCAGCACATATCAAGCGGATAACATCAGCGGCATATGCCAGGCTGGCCAACATACGAACGGCATTCAGAAACTTGTGTAAAGATTCATTCAGAACTTTGTATACCACATATGTCAGGCCAATCCTGGAGTATGCAGCCCCAGCATGGAGTCCATATCTAGTCAAGGATAAGACTAAACTGGAAAAGGTTCAAAGGTTTGCCACCAGACTAGTACCCGAGCTGAGAGGTATGAGCTACGAGGAGAGACTACGGGAATTAAACCTCACTTCGCTGGAAGACAGAAGAGTTAGGGGGGACATGATCACCACATTCAAGATTCTGAAGGGGATTGATAGGGTAGATAAAGACAGTCTATTTAACACAAGGGGAACACGCACAAGGGGACACAGGTGGAAACTGAGTGCCCAAATGAGCCACAGAGATATTAGAAAGAACTTTTTTAGTGTCAGAGTGGTTGACAAATGGAATGCATTAGGGGGTGATGTGGTGGAGGCTCACTCCATACACAGCTTCAAGTGTAGATATGACAGAGCCCGATAGGCTCAGGAATCTGTACACCTGTTGATTGACGGTTGAGAGGCGGGACCAAAGAGCCAGAGCTCAACCCCCGCAAACACAACTAGGTGAGTACAACTAGGTGAGTACAAGAAAAAGTAGAGAAGATTCAGCGGTATGCCACCAAACTCGCCCCGGAACTGAAAGGAATGAGCTACGAGGAAAGGCTAAAGTAGCTGAAACCCCCGTCCCTGGAAGACAGAAGTGTAAGGAGAGACATGATAACCACCTACAAAACTCTCAGGGGAATTGACAGGGTGGACAAAGACAAAATCTTTGTACAGCAGTACAAAGTACAGCATGGGTGGAACACGAACAAGGGGACACAGGTGGAAACTTAGTACCCAAATGAGCCACAGAGACATTAGAAAGAGATTTTTCAGTGTCAGGGTAGTTAACAAATGGAATGCACTTAGAAGTGATGTGGTGGAGGCTGACTCCATACACAGTTTCAAATGTAGATATGATAAAGAGCCAAGTAGGCTCAGGAAGCTATACACCAGTTGATTGATGGTTGAGAGGCGGGACCAAAGAGCCAAAGCTCAACCCCACAAGCACAACTAAGTGAGTACAGAGATCATTACAGTCCCCTTTCACCCGTGGCTGGCTTCCTTCATGGCCCAGCGGAAGGAAGAATAATAATAATTATTATTAAATTACAACAATTATAATAATAAAACTAATTAATAATAACTATTATCATTCCTTCTGCTGGGCCATGAAGGAATCCTGAAGCCAAGTACAGTTTCTAAATTAATTAAGCAACTGACATATGTGGAAAGCTAGTGTCAATTGATATGTTTGTCCTGCACACCGCCCCCCATCCAGTGGGCAGCGGTGGATAGGTTATAATAACTTTGTTACTACCTACAGTTAGCAAACTGGGGATACTTGGCCAAGACTTCTGGCAGCAGATCATTTGGAATGAAATATTTACACATCTTTGGAACATTTGTTATAGAATTGGCGCCAAGTTCACGTATCTTTTCAAATTCCATCACATAGTTACGGAGGGTGTGCGAATAATTTTGTTGACACAGTTTACATTTGGTCAGGTCTACATCAGCAGATAATGAGAATTCCCACAGATACTTGTAACCGAGTCTAAGCCGAGCAGTAGTAACATCTAGAAGTCTGCTGATATTATTGGATGATCCATAGATGTGTGGTTCTTCTTTTAACTTGTGCATATTATGACGATAGATGCAATTACTGGTGTCGATTTCACTTTACCTCATATCTACAAGTTTTTGTTGAAGCACGGGTACAGCTGGAAGTGCAGTTGTCCTGACAATGGGCAATGGCTTATATTTTGAGTGGGGAATTCGTATAAACAACTGGGCCTCTACCCTTCAGACCGAACTATTTGCCTTGCTCCTTGCACTGAAATGTGTACAAGTCTCCAAACTTGATACATTAATTGTAAGTGACTCTTTATCATCTTTAATTGCTCTCAACTCTGTAAGACAACTATAACATGCTCGTGTCTGAAGCTGGACACAAATACAACACAATTATTAATGCTGGTAACAGTCCATTTCATGTGGACTCCATCTCCATTAAGACTATGAATAAGGGTTACTCATATACCTGGTTGATGGGGTTCTGGGAGTTGTTCTACTCCCCAGGCCCGGCTTGACTTATGAGAGTTTGGTCCACTAGGCTGTTGCTTGGAGCGGCCCGCAGGCCCACATACCCACCACAGCCCGGTGGTCCGGCACTCCTTGGAGGAATAAATCTAGTTTCCTCTTGAAGATGTCCACGGTTGTTCCGGCAATATTTCTTATGCTCGCTGGGAGGGTGTTGAACAACCATGGACCTCTGATGTTTATACAGTGTTCTCTGATTGTGCCTATGGCACCTGTGCTCTTCACCGGTTCTATTCTGCATTTTCTTCCATCCATATGGATTTAAATATGGATAAATCCATATGGATTTAAATTAACACTGCTCAGCTAAATTACAGGAAGAATGTACATGCTAATAACTAAGCTATTAAATAATTGATAATAAATATTTGGTATATTAAACAATTAAGAATTTATTATTTTGTAAATCAATTTAAATAATAATAAACAAGTCCCCCATTACAAAGGCGAGTTCTCCTTCCAGCATGAAAATCAGATATGTTCCAAACTCTGCTCTCTTCTCACTATATTATGCGCTAATCTATCCCCATCTTGCATACAGTATCTATGCATGGGGTTCAACCACTGCAAACTACCTTAAACCCATTATCACCCAGAAAAAATCTGCTATCAGAACAATAACTCATATGCCATAACCTGGATATCCAGGTGATACCATATGCAATTACACAAAGGGTTGTTGAGCTCATGTGATAGGGTTCCTCATGCTAAGTGGAGCTGCTCTTTAACCCTTAACAAGGGAGGACGTGGGGAAGAGTATTTTTTCATACATATGCAGACTACATTCCCCCTAAAACTCGCTCATCCTCATAGGTAATACCAATAGCAGGGACATCAGGACATGTGCCTAAAGAATTAAATTTTGTGTACATAAGTTACACACCACCATTATTATTTAAGAAAATGGGTTCAGTAGCTACACACTACCATCCAAAAATTGCATGCAAAATCCTTTTCATGAAAAGTAATTATCAACAGGCACTAAGCTGGGAAGACTATAGCACCAAAGGTGCAGGATATTCAAAAGGAGCTAAATACCACCAAGGATGCTAAAACGAGAAAAAAAGCATACAAGGCGAGCAATATGAAAGTCATCATTACTTCAGCATCTTGCCTCTTTGTAGAGCATTACTTTTCTACTATAGAATCAACTGACCCAGACAGCAAGTGTAAGTTCACAATTCATAGTATGTAAACAAGAATCCTTTTAGTCAGTCTCTACAAGTTTTCCCCATCCAAGAATGTTTCACTAATAATTGGGTGTTATTTTTTCTTTTCAAGATGCCTCTCCGTTCTATAATGTGTAATTATATTTTAACAGTGATAAAATTTGATGCCAAAAGATTGGAAAAACAAAAATTACCAGTCAATATTTATTGTAAAAGCTTCTGTACAACATACAGGCAAGAATAAATAACCAAGACATACTACAACAAATGTATGGTTATAGAATATCTGCATATGATGCAAGCAACACCCATATTCTTGCTTTAGGAATTGCAAAATAGTCCCCATCACAAATGTAGATAAGGCTGCATATCATTGCAATACTTCCTCTGGCAAGAACAATACCCATTATTAGCAAATGATAAATCTATTGCTCTAGAGGTTTTTGCATTTAACTCTGAAGAACAGTGCTCTAAAGATAATAACAGTGTATTGCAAAACTAACAAAATGCAGATATGTGCAGTCCTTTGCCAATTTGAAAGTTAGCTCCCAATTTGTCACTCAGCAAAAATGTACATACAAATAATGAACTTCAAACTACAAAATTAAGCATACATTATGTTGAATAAAAATAGGTACTGTATACAATTCTTAAAGAATATGTTCAGTCAAATATTAACAACTCCATTAGACAAATATACCTTTCCTTAACAGAAGTCTCAATTGTTACTGTAGATCATTTTACATAAAACAAAAATTAAGCTAACAAAAATAATGGAGTTAACTGTTGACAGGGATTTATAAGCTAATAGTAAAATACATTTTGTACAAGGGAATCTTCACACCATAAGGCAAGTCATTAGTATTTAGCATTGGAGTAATGCACTATAAAACTTAATGGCATTGCCTAATGATAAAGAAGGGTGGTAGAGCCAAGATTTGGGAAAGAATTGGTGGATCAGCCAACCTACAAGACTCAAGGGACCAAGATATATATACTGGTTCAGTAAACAAACTTACATTTGAAGAAAATTATAGACATAAGAAAACACAGCTACTCCATTTTTAACAAAGAAAAAATATCTAACATGATATACAAACATTACCTAAGTCCACAAGTAGGAACAGGAGAAGCACACAGGATGGCTCCTGTAGAGGATTTGCATTCTTCTATATAATTAGAAAAAAAATTTAACTCTGTATTTATTAATAACTTTGAATCTGAAGCAAATGAAAGAGGAATGTCTCAAGACAGAAAAAGAAGCTTCAGACTATCACAGCTTATCCCAATACTGAAGCTATAGAGACCAAGAAAACTGAACAAAATACAACTGCCTTTATTTAAAGACTTTGATCTTACCCTGACTAGGTTATAATTATGTAAATATAAGATTACACCATTAAAAAAAAATAATTGAATTAACATTTAGACAAAAATATTTTCTCAAACAAAACCCAATTTTTCTGCAAATTCTTTCCATATCATAATTATCAAGTTACTTTGCATAAAAATGCTTATACCGTACTAATTAGTATCATAAGGCCTCAAAAGTCCAATCATAAAATCTTTGCTCCTTTAAAAATGTGAGCTCTTTCTTGTCTCTAGCACAATGTAACATTAAAATTCAGTGTAATCTATTCTCTCCGAGCCTTACGAAGCCTGGGCGAAGTACGGGTCTGAGCATCCTGAAATGAGAAAATTAAGCTGTAATACAAATTGAGCACTTGTATATGATAAATGGATTGTCGTGAAAAATTTATCATGGGCAATGATAACCATTGATGGATTTTAACAACAAACGAATCTTATAAAATCTTAAGGCAGTCTGTGGCAACAAGAAAAATTACAAATCCAAAACTGGTTTAGCTAGAAATTATAATGGGAGAAAAATATATCTATACACAAAGTGCTACAATGTAGCTATACAATACAAAATTAAAAAGCTTTTATCTTAATATTATTTAAAAAAGAGCTGTACAGCTACTTTAAAATATTCTTGGAGGATTTGTCTTTACAAGAGTTTTCTTGTGGGTCTTGAGATAGCCAATTAATATCTTAACACTAGAAAATAACATTAAAGCTTGCCTAACTAAATGGGCCAAGTCAAAATTAAAAATGATTTAACATCTAACCAATTTCCATGTGCATACAGACATTGATGTACTTTTTATGTACTTTTTTTATTATATGGTAGAAGGGACATGGTACCCATTGATTAACCCTTGCCCGCTATAGGGCGGGGAAGTCTGGCAAAAAACAGGCACTGACTCAGCGTGTGTCCCAGGCGGTCTGTTGCTTGCCAGCTGTCAGGCCGGAGTTGCCATAAAGAGATAATTACCTAATTATTTCAATGTGTCTGATTTTTTGTAGTTTTTTTTTGCTGTATTATTATTCAATAGTGTGTAGTGTGATATATTTATATAATAAAATGAGTGAATCATCGCTGTACTCAAAAATATGGTGTGCATATGGTTGATTCAATTATGTTCATCAAACAGTGAACAAATACTTTGTAGGTTATTACACTATATACACAGGTTACATAAAAGTATCTGCATATTTTGTTCACCATAACGAACCACTTAGTTGCTATTATGAGTCAAAAAGTAACAAGGAGTGACCGCCACACACCAGCCAGCCACTCGCTGCCACTCCAACACCTCACTCGCCCACATTCTCCTCCCACCATACTGTTTTTGCTTTTATTCACCATATACAGACGTTATATATAAGTATCTACATTCGTGTTCACCATAACGAACCACTAAGTTGGTATGCTGAGTGGCAGTGGCAGCCCGCCACTGGCTGCCACTCTCTCCCTCACCTGACTTGACTTTCCACCATTCTCATCCCACCATACTGTTTTTGCTTTTATATACAGACGTTATATATAAGTATTTACATGTTTTGTTCACCATAACTGTACATCTAAAGCTTGTATGGTGAGTAAAGGCACAAAGACATAGCTACTCACACAGTCAGCTGGTGACTGCCGCCCTCAAGGCCAGGCGCACTAATATTTCTCCTCCAGCAATACTGTTTGTGGCGTTATTACGCTATATACACACACATTATATATAAGTATACCTGTTTTATTCACCATACTTTTACAAGTAAACTGGTATGGTGCCCAAAGACCATCGTGGTCACCAGTAAACAACATAAGTCGTGCAGACAACTACACCGCCCTCACCAAAATGGCAGCTCCCAACCTACTCCTCTTGCTGTTTATACCCTCTATACACACGTTATATATAAGTATCTACATTTGTGTTCACCATAGCGAACCACTAAGCTGGTATGGTGAGTCCAGTCAATAAAAGGTGGCCACACAGTCAGAAGACAACTCCATTACCCCCCCTCCCACAGCATTACTCCTCCCTCCATGGAGCACAGCGCTAAATATCACCACAATCCTGCTATTATCAGAACCCTGGTCAGTTTTATCACAGTCAGGGGTCTTCTGTAATAATATCATCACTACATAATAGCACGAACAAGTATATTATGGCATTTTTAAGCGATGCTGTGGTCACAAGCTGAACAGCAGTGCTGTGAGCTCATGCTGCATGCATCAGGCTTGGTAGCTCACTCAATACCAAGGTTGCTAACACACGGGAATTTGGACCAAGATTTAAAAAAAAAAGGCGTCTGTTTACAAGAGCCCTGATGAGGGTGTGGTGAACCCCGTGTATCCGCGAGCCATTTAAATCTTGCGTAGTACTCCAAAGCATATGATGCGATGCGCAATTTACTGCAAGTCGGTCAAAGCATCATATGATGTGTGTGCAATTTAAGGGTTAAGCCTTGCAAGACCACTTTAATGAAAGATTTGCATTAAAACTTTGCATTACCTTTTTGTGTCTAGTACTCCAGATCATTTCCCATGCAAACTAAGTTCAAGGTATTCAATCAACCTTCATACAAAGTACTTATTGTAAGTAGAGTCAAGCTTTCTTGGATAAAAAAAAAATGTAAGAGCCCTTGTCAACCTTACAGAATTCTCTCACTCGTGTCCATGATATAATTTGATCATGGCATTGCATTTTGGCCTTTTCCAAGCCATTATGGTCTTAACCCTCGAAGTGTAGTTATTGTCAAACATTGACCTGTGGGGTAGTGCTGTTCTCATACATTGATTTTAATTATTGTCAGGTTTTTATACCCGATGCTAATAATAGCTCTACAAAAGTAGTGGAGTTTATCTTGACCCATGAAAAAAATCCTATCATTTCATGGTTATCATCTATGCAAATGTAGTAACTGTCATGGATTAAAAATCCATTATATTTGTACAATATGCATTTTATGTTAATATAGTTTTCACAACTATATCGTTGTAATGAAGTATCCCAGGCCAATTATTTGAACATTATAAAGGAACTGCAGAAGGACTATAGGCCCATATGAGGCTACTCCTATTTATATCAACCAAACCTCATTCATATACAAGTTTAGGTGTATATAGATAGGAGCTACCTCACATGGCCCGCTAGGCCCTATGCAGTTTTCTTGTTCTAATATTCTTATTGATATTCAGTAATCTAGTTATTCAACACAAACTATAACGAACCAACTCAAAAATGAAGTAATTATCAATAGAAGGCACCAAACCGGGAAAGCTATGTAGCACCATCAAATGTGCGGAATAATCAGAGGGTGCTAAATATCACCAAGGATGCCAATACGAGAACAGAAATGCATAAGGCGAATGATATCAAAAGTATCAGATTCCCCAAGAATTCTATCGAGGGACAAACGATCGCAAGGGACAATCGGAAAGCAAGACATGCTCGTCCTGGAAGTCAGGACATTCAACAAGGATATGCACGACTGTAAGAGGGACATTCAACAAGGATATGCACGACTGTAAGAGGGACATTCAACAAGGATATGCACGACTGCAAGAGGGATAATGCAATTTGGACAATAAGGAGCAGGGCGGCGCTCCATTAAGTGACCATGAGTTAAGCGTGTATGGCCAATACACAACCTTGCCAGAGTCGTTTCCCATCGCCGGTTATGGTGGTAGGAGGAAGGCCATGGGGACACACTACGCTTAAGAGTACGTGGTTTGTTACCAACAACCCTGCCAACGGGCAAGGATGGAGTAATGAATAACTGGGTAAGTCAGAATAAGGTATACCTTTCTGGGAAATGGGACAAGAGCGGATATCTTCCCTAGCGGCAGCATCCGCACGCTGATTTAAAGAAACACCACTATACCTGGGAACCCAGCAATCCTCTACCAATTTAAATTTACTGGAGATAAACAGCCGATGTTGAATCTCGACGACCACCGGATGGACTGGATTAAAGGACCCTAGAGCCATGAGGGCACTACGAGTCAACTACAACCAAAAAGGCGAATTGACAACAAGAAAGCAGGAGACAGAGCAGAGAGAGTAGGATAAAGTTCTGCTGTGAAGATGCTAGTCTTCGGCAGGCGACATGTAAGTGAGGTCAGCAAAAACAACAGTAGACTACACCGTCCGCAGACTTAGAGCCATCGGTGAAGAAGGAAATGGAGTAGGAGTGCGAAGAAAAGTGTTCAAGGAAAAGGCGTTTCAGAACCGTAGGGAGGGGGGTAAAAGCTTTAGTGATACGGGTTGGGGATGTACAAAATTTTGGAAGGGGGGGGCCCCTCCACCGGGGCAAGGATGGAACAATACGAGGAGAAACATCGGTAATATGAATCTAAAGAGAATCTTGAAAGCGAGATAACTGGACAGAAAGAGGAAGGTGGTGAAGAGGAACAGGAACTACAGGAGGGGTAAATGTCAAAGCACGACAGAGGCGAGAGTCAAGATGTTGCAAGGACTGTGCAAGATAGCGAAGACAGTAGTGATCACAGTGGGCCTGAAGAGATAGAAAGCCAGTGTCAACATACAAGCTGAGGGTGGGAGTCGAACGAAAGGCACCAGAGCCGAGGCGCATCCCAGAATGGTGCAAAGCATCAAGATGGCGAAGAGTAGGAGATGCAGACCAATAAGCAGGGCAACCATAATCGAGTTTAGACAGTACGAGAGAGGAATGTAAAGAGGAGAGTGCACCTATCCGCTCCCCAAGAAGTAGGGGACAAAACCTTAAGAAGGTTAAGGGCCTTAGAACATTCAACTCGAGGTAAGATATATAGGGCGACCAAGAAAAACGAGTGTCAAAGATTAACCACAAAAGCTTAGCGGAATCTCTGTACACAAGGGGATGACCATAAAGCGACAAAGAGGGATAAGAACGACACACTTCCAAATAAAAGTCACAGCACAAGTCTTAGAGAACTTGAAGCCAGGATCGGTGGCCCAAGACAACACGACATCAATCGCAAGTTGAAGCCGCCGTTGAAGGAAAGGCAAATCATCAACAACAAAAGGTAAGAGCGTCGACACAGAGCGAAGAGACCAGAAGGAACAGAGGAAAGAAGACCATTGAGGGCAACCAGAAAAGAGTAGTGCTCAGAACACTACCTTGGGGCACACCCTCGTATCGCCGAAAAGAGGCAGAGAGTGGCACCAATCGAGTGAGGCACGAAGCCTCACTCGAAAGAAACGACGAGAGAAAACTTTGGAGGAAGAGAGGGAGATTACCACGAAAGCCAAGAGAACGAAGTTGGGACAGAATATGATATCTCCACGCAGTGTCGTAAGCCTTTTCCAGGTCAAAAAGAACGGCAACAACGGAGGTCTTCCCAGCAAAAGCAGAATGAATATAGATCTCAAAATTCACCAGGACATCTGTTGTGCTGCAGCATTTGCAAAAACCAAATTGTGAAGGGAAGGGGTGGTGATAGTGTTCTAAGAAGCACATCAAACGAACGTTAACCATACGTTCAAAGAGTTTGCAGACAACTTGTGAGGGCAACAGGGTGGAGTCCTGAGGGAATGTTTCGCGAGACCCTGGTTTCCGAACAGGGAGAACAACAGCATTGAGCCAGTCCTCAGGGACTGAAGATGACTCCCAGACCCGGTTATACAGACTCGGCAAATACTGAAATGTGCATGGAGGGAGATGACAAAGCATCTCATAATGAATGTAATCAGAGCCCGCTGCCGTGGAACCGCAGAGTGCAAGGGCAGACTGAAGTTCAGAGAGAGAAGGAATCGTTATAGGGAATTCTGAGATGGGTATGGAAATCTAAAGGATGAGGTTCAAGACAAGGCTTACGAAGAAGGAATGATCGAGGAGGATGAGAACCAGAGTTAACAGGTGAAAAGTGGGAACCCAGTTCGGCCGCAACCTGCACCGGGTCTGCCACAAGAGTACCACTGAGGTGAAGAACCGGCGAGACATCGGGAACGAATTTACCCGCTATCTTGTGGATACGCTTCCAAATCTGTGGCAGAGGAGTTTCTGACGTAATGGTGGAAACGTAAGACTTCCAACACTCGCATTTAGCCATTCGGATGGTTCTACGGGCCACCACACTCGCCTTTCGAAACAAAAGAAAACAATCAGTCATATGCAGGCAGCGGTCTCTCTTCCAGGCTGCATGCTTACAGCATACAGCTCGGGCACAGTCCACATTCCACCGGGTAACACACTTCTGCATACCCCGAGAGGTAGATCGAGGAATAGAGTGGAGGGCAGCGTCAAAGACAGTGTCATGCAAAAAAAAGGAGGGCGCAAGGGAGAGGCAGAATAGAAAGGTTGGAGAGAGTAGCTTGGAGGGTAAAGAGGTTCCAGTCTGCCTTTGCAAACTGCTACCTAGGGAAGGAGAGGGAAGAGTGAACAGAGAAAAAGGTAACATGGATGGGGAAATGGTCACTGTCACGAAGGTCATCAAGAACCCGCCACGTAAATCCAAGTAAAGAGACTACAAGCAGAGAAAGAGCAAGACAGGAAAGGGTGCGAGTTCATGAGTCCAAATGAGTGAGCTCACCAGAATTCAGAAGAGATAGGGAAGAGAGGACGAACGGTTCAAAAAGGCAACCCAGGGTGTTTGTCAGAATGTCATCCTAGAGGGTATGTCGACAATTAAAAGGACCCAGCAGGAGCACAGGCTCCGGCAAGTAGGTGCTTAAGATCAGGAAGAGAAAGCGGGACATTTGGGGGAAGATAAATGGAACAAACCATATACCATTGTCTCAAAGACTCGGGCAGCAGAACATTGGAGAGGCGATGGAAAAAGTAGGGGGATGAAGGGAATATCAGAACGAATCAAGAGAGCAGTAGTGTTATGGGCCCCAGCAAAAGCTGGGAAGGGGGGGGGGACAAGAGAGAAAGGAATAGCCATGGCAGCGACCAGGACAAGCACCAAGCATCAGTTCCTGGAGACAAACACAAAAGATGGGGGGGGGGGGGGGGGAACTGAAATCATAAGTTGGAGTTCATGGAAATTGGCAGAATATCCACAAATATTCTATTGAATAGACATCGACAAAAAGAAAAAAAAGGACTGCAACAGAGAACAATGAAGAAACAAAGGGTAAAAAAAGGAACATGTTAAAGAAGCTCAGGATCAGGATCATTAAAGTCAGGGTAAGGGGGCATGGATAAACTGAGTAAGGATGGAGGGAAGGGAGTGGGAGGACAGACCAGAGGCAATTGAGCAGGGTCCAGAGGAGACAGGGGGGTTAAGGACAGCAGGAGGAGGAGCAGAAACCGGGGAGCACACCTCAGCAAGGACAGCAACCAAGAGGGAAGCGGGGTCCAAAGAAACCTCCATAGCAGGAATAGGGGCCCCCCACACGTGTGAGGCTGAAGCTCTATCGACTGGGCTATGAGTAGTCTTAAAAAGGAAAGTTTCCAGAAGCAGCATCCTGCTGCCAAACTGGAATATGGTTCAAGACCCATACAGCCCAGGTGAGTGGAATGTTTATTTCCATAAAAATGTGGATGACAATTTATATGACAGTGTGGGTCAGTATTTCCTTGGAGCTTCAGAAGTAGTTAGAAGTCGAAAATTCCAGTTTGGCAGGATGCCGTTTCAGGAAACTTTCCTTTTTAAGACTACTCATAGCCCAATCGATAGAGCTTCAGACTCGCTTGTGGGGTCCACGGTTAGAGACCCAAACAGCCCCAGGTGAGTGGAATGTCTATTTCCATGGCAGTGTGGATGACAATTTATTTAGTACGATAATTATTAAACGCTGTGCCTATCCTCTTCACGAGGACCTGTATTTAACAATCACAGTTTTTAGCCAGCATCCTCCTTTTCCCAAAAATTCTGAGAACTTCTGCCATCTGTTTTGCTTGGCTTGAGTGCACTAATAGTTGCCTAACTGTGCTTATGCTATTTCTCCTAGTCCACTATTTTCTTACTAATACTACACTAAAAGATTTGTTGCCAACATCCCTGTGGCATATCTGCTCAAGTCTCCGTGTTCCCTTTTCCTACTGTCCGTATACTTAACATTACTGCTATCATTGTCTAATCCCAGAGCATCTTTCATGTCATTGTCACATCTAAATTCTGTTTTTCCAAGTAGATTCAGTTTCCCTAATCTTCCTTGATAGTTTAATCCTCACAAATCTGGTACAAGCCTTTCATTTATCCAAGATGGAAAAGTATCAAAATAGAGGCACCAAGTTGGCAGGACTACATAGCACACAGGGTGAGGAAGCCCTCTCCAATAACTGCATCTACTACAGTAGAATTTGATTTTTAAAATATTACGGTACACACTTTCCCAACACACTACCATTCATTCTTATTACATGACTACATTAACTTCTCTGCTTCTTATCTCTGCCCAACCAATTTTGCTGGACAGTAGAGCAACGGTCTCGCTTCATGCAGGTCTGCGTTCAATCCCTGACCGTCCAAGTGGTTGGGCACCATCCCTTCCCCATCCCATCCCAAATCCTTACCTAGCCCCTTCCAAGGGGCTAGGTAAGGTCATAATGGCCTGGTACTTTCCCCTGATAATTCCATTTCTTTCTTACCTCTGATTCTTTGTCTTTGGTTATATTTTCTTGCTGCTGCTCCTCTTCATCTCTCTCATTTTCCTCATCAGCATCACTTTCTACATGTTCTTCAACCTGTTTCTCACTTGTATCTTCACTTTTAAGGTCACTACTGTGTGCCTGCTCTTCAGCTGCCTCTCCCTCCTCTTCAGCTGCATCGCCTTCTTCTTCAGCTGCGTCTCCCTCCTCCTCAGCTGCGTCTCCCTCCTCCTCAGCTGCGTCTCCCTCCTCCTCAGCTGCCTCGCCTTCCTCCTCAGCTGCCTCGCCTTCCTCTCCTGGCAGATCATCTGCAGTAGGTTCGTCTGTCTTCTTACGCTCGGCATCCTTATCAGCTTTTGTGTCCTGATGCATACAAGTTTTGTTAGCACAGCAATGACTGGTTAAACATCACAATATCCCAAGAATAAATATCAGAACCTCAAATTTATTGAACTTTCACAAACATTAATGAAATCCACAATATTAGTTAAATATTAGCAAGTAATTTATTACATTTTCCATAACCTAAAATTGCAATTGTAACAAATGGCAAATTATTACCTTTACTTCTGCACAGCAACAAGTAATTATCAAGACTACAGGAATGGCCACAAGCAGAACGTAGATACCATACAGCCAGGGATGCTTATTTGAGTAGTTTATGATGCGCCTGAAAACTCCAACCTAAAACACAAGCCATCAGTTACAGGTTACTACACTACATTACTTTCTAAATCAACTATAAACTATACAACTCATATCAAACTTTCATTTGTTCATTGGCCAAGAATTTTTTTTTGCAAATTCTGTCTTTCTCCAAGATGATGAGAATACAGAGAACTTTAAGACAGTTTCGCATGGGTGAGGGTTCTGTTTATGTTTAACCTGGCTTTAAACTACCCTGTGACCCAGTATCTCTTGCTGTTCAGGAACTAGTGCCTTAAATCTATTAAGTAATTTCCAAGCCAATATTTACATTTCTTTTCAAAATGTAAACTTGATTAAGTGATTTTTTTTAGCATTCTATTAAATCCACTTGTCATGCCTTTTCATCCATTTGTATTCTTCAATCATGTGTTCTCTAACTCGGTTCCTCTCTCAGATAATTTCTTAGCCTCTTCAAGGAAGACTCCCAATTTCAAAGAAATTAAATCCTCTGCACACTAAAGATAATGCATGTACATTTTATAATCCAATACTTAAAACAACTGAATAATCTAAACGGAGTTTAACGAAAGAATGATAGACATGAACAGTGGAGGCCATATTACTAACCCTTCTATTCAAATACCAGAATCTTATTTTAAACATACATATTAATATTCCTACTACAGTACTTAAGATTCTCTTCCTCACTCAATTGTTATTAATTATTTAATGTTCACATTCTGGCTGCCTTTTCATAATATATGCTCCAAGCATTATTGAAATCTACAAATTACTGTATTATATTACCAGAAAATTTAGCAACTTTAGAGTAATCATAATTACTGTATCAGTTCAAGGTTCACCTAGCAAATAAACACTTGCTGTGACAAAAAGCATCTGCAATATAATGCAACACGTCTTCTGTGAATAAAGTATACACCTTGAAAAACAAGTTATTTTACCACTGCTTAAAGCAAAAATGTTCATGCCACCCGACTAATGTGGATATTTGTAATGGCCTTTTGGCCATATTTTAACCATAAAGGTTGAATGGGTGGCATACACAAGTATGACCAATTTCTGCTGCCCAGCAACAGAAATTGCTGGACAACATGCAATGGCAACCCATTATGATGTCAAGTTTCAATGCAGTTTTCAATGTGTAAATTATAGGATATACAATAAATACACTATTATTTAAGCATCTAAATAAGCTATTTTAAATACAGTAATTGGTTAATGGTAATGGTAAAAACAAATTAAGGAAAAAATTGCATAATAAATTGTAATACCTCGATTACTCTCTTGACTATACAATAGATAATCAATGATAATGGTACCAAAATGTAGATAATGTACATGGTCCACATAACTTGTCTATTTCCGGAGATCTTCTTCCAAAATGACACCTAAATGGAGATTCGGGCCATTTAGAAATATACTTGAACATATATTTGCCAAAAGCATAGTACAATAAAAAAAAAAACTTGGAAAAAGTAATATTTAACATTACTGTATGAAATAATTGTTATAACGACTATGAAAATGAGTAAGATAGAAAGTGGGGCGAAGAATTAAAAGGATCCTTGTTGATGCTGCAGCACTCTGCCATGTGAGGATACTCGGCTAAGGAGAATGGCAGTACCAATGAAGCAATTTTGAGTGAGAAAGTTAGAGATCAGGGGCAATAGACAAAGATGGGCCAATAGAAAAGTGAAGCGAGCCAGAAGGTATTATGGGATGAATGACTGATTTATTATTATATATACGACTGTCAGACCACGGAGGAAGAATTGAAACAGGAATTTCCTCAAGTACTTTCATATATTAATACATCTTCAGAAGGAGTCCTTCTGAAGATGGACATATATATATATCACAAATCATTATAAATATATATATATATATATATATATATATATATATATATATATATATATATATATATATATATATATATATATATATATATATATATATATTTTTTAAACTTTCCTGGCACAATAAGAGTTCACTGGGGTCAAGCTAATTTATAAACAATAACAAATTTATATACCTGTCCTTTTTCCAGCTTCATAACTTTGAGGTCTATTGTCTCCTGAGCCAATCGACTTGCATCACCAATATTATCCGTAATAATTATGTTGTCAAAGAGTATGTTATCAGACATTGACCACAACTCTATTCCAACTGCATCCTGTGAACAAAGATGATGTAGTTAAGAAAACTTATCGAAGAAAAACTTTCTAGAAATATGTAACATGTTTAAATTCACAGAGTTAAATCATAACCACTAGTCCTTACAAGGGGCGTCATTTTGAAAGGCTCCAAATCTTCAAAGTAGTCAGGATTTGGGATTTTACGGGGTTTCCACTTGCCACGGTAGTTAGGATTGTCAATCATTGCTGGGCGCCATTTACCCTTGTAATTTGGATTGTCAATCATTGGAGGCTTCCACTCTCCACAGCCTGGGGCTTCAGTACATATAGGATTGTTTATCAAGGCAGCTTCCCACTCTCCATCCATTTCATCATCCCTGAAAAATCAAATTCACATTAGGAACAGTTAAATTACTTTTTTTTACACAGTAATTAAAGTATTAATAAAGCCATAATCAACAGTAAGCATGGTCAGATTTTCTAGTTTTAGAGAGATGATGCACAGTAGCTGGTCTTTCAGATCTGACGTCTCTACAACACAAACTGTACTTTTCAGAAGAATTAATAATCCATGGTTTACAGATAGCATATCTAAGCAATTAGTTTTAAATTGCCAACATTTCACAACAAGATGTTAAGACATTTATTTAAAGGTTGGTTAAATTTAACTAACCTTTTATGAAAATAATGTTTGGATTTAAAACCCAGAGGAAGCATGGATAATTATCACCAACATTCTTTGATCCAACTAAAACTCGCAAAAGACTAGCATCTTTAACAGGGCCCAAAACATCAACACAGTCCAATAGCTTTTCATCCATTAGGGACTAACCTTGCCAACAATATCAGACTCAAACAATTGTTCCACATCTTACTAAATCTCCTCAGGACCCCTAGGCAGCTTAAGGATAAAAATGAGAGGGAATTTGTTTTTTTCCATCAATGAATATGATAACACCTCTGCTGTACACCTGTTTACAGCTGAGAACCCCCTGGTATGCGCGTGCACAAATAATTCTAAATTGTCAAAATGTGTTCCTAGGGAGGAACACATTTTGTTCCTAGGGAGGAACCCCCCTTCCCCCTCCTGGAGAGGGGGAAGCTGCACAGACAGCAGCACGGCAGCTGTGGTGAAGTCATACTTGCTTGATTGTTTTCTGAATGGGGAGTTCTGCTTGCTCATCTGGCTTTCGGTTTGGAATTTTTAACCAGCTGTAGTTTGTTTTGGGATTCCTACCTTTTTGGGTGCCTGACCTAGTAGATGGCAGACAGACTGCTTCCAATTATATGGGGGGGGGGGGGGTCGTCTATAGGCCAGTGCTCCTCGTGCCGCTCTAAGGGGGAGCCAGGTTCTGCCTCATGGTCCCCAGTAGGCTAAGAACTCCAGCGATTGACTGTTGCCAGTCTAATATATACACATCAGCCCGATATATCTCCAGGGAGCCAGAGGGGCTCTCCACAGAAAGATTGTATATGACACTTCAGCAGTGATGGAGATGAATTTTACTTAATCATCAGAGTTCATTGAGCTACTGCCCCATGGCTGTCACCACAGGACAAGCATGGTGCAGGAGTTACCACATTTTTACATATTTCCATGCGTGATCTGTTTTTTTAATTTTTTATTGCAGTAATATTATTCGTGTCATTTGTCATTGGAGACAGTCATGTAATAAAGTGTGGAACACTAGTCTGGTGAAATATATTCAAATCACTAATATGCACACCAAATTACATTACTAGAACAATAAGTATTTTTGCCATTATTATCCTGTATACACACTATACCTACATTTTCAAGCACCATTACCCATCAAAATGCTTCAATATACTATGCACTTCACTAATTAGCCACAACACTGCTATTATCATCAAATTCCTGTCACTAAACTATGAATATGAATTCTTTTTCACAAGTTCAGTTTCTAAAGGAACACCAAGTTCCATTTTATGAGGGTAGATGCACAGAACCACAGCTGTGTTCTGTGGCTGCCTCCTGCTTTGAACCTAACCAGCATTGTATTCACTAGTACCTGAACCTTGTACATAGTTTATCACAGTAAGGATCTATGACACTTATTGCAAAATAATTGCAGTTATTTATATTATCAATATTAAGGGAACATATTACGTTTTTTTTTTTAAATGTTTAATGTCAACCAAACTTTTTTTACTAGTTGTATATAAAAAGGGCTACAACTGTTCTACGTTTCAGTATCGCACCCTAAATAGAAAGGGAGGGATTTTTTTCTGCACCGAATTTTACACATTCGGTGCAAATATAGCCGGCATGGGAGGTCTGATCCCCCCCCTTCCCCCTCCTGGGGAGGGGGAAGGGGGGGGGAGGGTCAGTCAGTCCATCCATGATGGACTCCAGGATGGGGGTCAGTACAGTTCATCCAGGATGGACTAGTGTATTTTATAGTGCATATACTCTCATGTACAAGGAAAATATTAGAGAAAAGAATGATATGGATGGGTTCAGGAATCAACACCGACAACAAAATGTTATTGTGGCCGAGATATGAATGCAGGGAAGTTATTGGAAAGTGCAGTGTGCAAGATGTAAATGGAACTTGGCATTTCTTAGCAGACTTTTTGTCTGGATATGGGTTGGCATCTAATAAATGCATTCTTTGAACAAATTCCTACCAAGTTAAACAAGTGATAAATTGGAATACAGTGAAATGGTGCAATAATGATTATGTATTAAAAGAAGGCAAGTGTGAAAAATGTGAGGGTCAGATTACGGCAGAAAGTAGTATGCATAATTGCAAGGAAGTTGGGGGACTAGTAAGAAGGCTAAGATGTCTAGAATGGCAAAATGCTAGCAAATGCAAGGAAAAATAAAAATGTAAATGCAAAATAAGTATACAAGAGTATCAGGGATGAGATATACTTACATCATTAAACTGGTTTCCCATTGTTAAGGAACAGGAAGCCTATACGTTAAAAATGACGTTCCTTAATGTAGACTTATCGAGGTCATTATTTGCCAAGGGTGAAGTGGTTTGCCTTTACCCTAACCCATTATGAGGCAGACCCAACTGTGTTTGACTTGTTCATCATGCATTACACCACACCATTACCAATATATGGCATTGGCAATATTTGACTCATTCTACATACCTAAGTCTATAGCCTTCACTGACTCCTTGCACACCACTGCACGCATCATTCTCAGAACATTTTCACTTAAATTATTAAAAATCACCAAAATTTTATTTAAATGATTTATTGTATCACTAAACTAGAAATATACGTAGTTTTCAGTCATTTGGACTAAGTAATTATCCCAGCCATATTAAATGTTTAAGATTTATGTTGACTTACCAATCTTCAGGTTTCTCAGCAGTAGGGTCAGGCACCATCTCTGGTTCATCATCTAACCATCCTTTTGGCTTCTCAGCATCTGGGTCAGAAATTTGCATGGGAGCATCTTCATCCCAGTCATCTGGTTTTGAAGCATCGGGATCAGGAATTTTCTCTCTCTCATCCCAATCATCAGGCATGAAATCTTCAGGATCATCAATTTCCTTTTCTGGGTTTACAGGAGGAGAGAAGTCTTCAAGCAGACTACCAGAGTTGATTACCTGAAAAATACCATTCTTTGGTCATGAAATCAAGTATTTTCTGAACAGCATTTCCAAACATTCTACAAATAAGCTTTCACTTAAAGAAAATGAAATTTAAAAGCTTTTTTTTTTTATGTATCATATTTCAAATGTCTTGTAACCTATATTTTCAATTGTCCTACCTCCTGATCAAGACTTATTTCAAATGTGTTGTCTGGTCGAACAATCAGAGTATACACATGTGGCTTCTTGTCTTTGAAAGGCTCTTCGATTTTGTCACGAGGACGCTGCAAGGAGTGAATTCAGTTACTATTTAAGGACAGTGGCGAGATATTATATGTTATATACAGTAGAGCGACAAACTGGTTTAGAATTCCTCTAGACCTCTTAATAAAACAAATTATTTTAACCTATAAGCACAACTTAAATATATAACATTACTAACAAAGTTTTCATGCATTTATCAGTAAATTTCATTTAATAGTTCAGTATAAAGTAATTATTTGATACAATTTTGCTATATTTCATGATGGCTGAATATGTAGCCATGTTAACCCCTCAGCAACAAAAACATTTGTTGCCAGAAGGTTACGTGGTACGTGTGGCAATCTGGGCAACTTTTTAAACTAGCAAAGAATTTTAATGGCAGATTGAGCACTATTCCTAGCTAAAAGGATAACACTATATAATGTTTATTTAATCACAAGAAAACATACCTTGGCATGCTTTTCTTCTACTTCTCCAGTGAGAGGATTTTTATGTCTGAAAATGAAGTGCAGTTTATGGTCATTGCCACATTTGTCAGGTCCAAACATAATAGTGTAAGGTGTCTTGTCATTGAATTTCTTCAGGTTCACTCTTCCTTCTTGAGAACTCAACAACTGCAATGAAAATTTAATGAAATTAAGAAAATTAAATGTATCACAATGACTATTCCACAGTTTGTTTATACTGTATATCAAAATATATTTATAGTAAAGGGTGTTAGCAGTTGGCTGGTAGGTGAGAACTTGCACTGTACAGTACAGTACACAAATCACAATATTGTACAATATTGCTAATGAGATGAACGAGGGTGGTGGTAGGAAAGTAACAAAGGTGAAATATGTAGTCGAGAGGAATAGATGGAGAGTGCAAGGTAGTGGCAGGAGCAACACAGGAAGAAAAGGTAGCATGGTCGTGGTGAAATTTAACTGTTTCATAATACAATGACTATGGGGAATTACTTTTAGTTCTTGGTGCCCTACCTATTAGCTTTGAACATGGTGCTTTATTACTCTAACTTTTCTGACATTCAAATTTTGTAATTGCAGGCCTTAATTTTTGATGGGCTTCCATTTCTTCCATTAGTGAATTCCACCTGTTAACCACCTGTAACCGGGTATAGACATTTCCTTACATTTTGACTACTTCCACCCATGTCCTTGTTCTATTTTTTCTCAATTTAACCATCTTGTATAGTAATCATATCCCTTTATACCTTTTTCTCATTTAGGTTTGAGAAATTATGTTCTTTAATCTGTCCTCAAAGATTAGTGCTCAATTCTAGCAATTATCACATTGCAAACTATATTTCAGTTCAGCTATTTGTCAAGGTTTTATTTTGGCACACATACTTTTAAATACTAACATTATTAGTTTAAACAATTCTTATTTAATGCATTGGAATTAGTGCTAAAAAGCTAAATTCTCCTTATCCATGAGGTGCAGATGCCATACCTGTACTGTATATTTTATTACTGACTATACACAAGTCTAGGTTATATATATTTCACAATTTCCTCATCCAGGATTTTGTAACCAATTTTCATCAGCTTCCCATATGTGAATGATATGCTGTTTACATGTGACTACCACTGTGTTGTATTTGAATTCATCCTCAAATTTCTCAGATTCCTACAGTTGCCTCTCGATATGATATAGATTATTATCTATCTCCCATTACCATCTTTATTATCACACACTTGTTGGGGCTTTAACACCATTTGCCTACCCACTCACCAATTTTATCAAGGTCTTTCTGTAATTGCTTGCTTGCTCAATTTTCACATCTCTAACTTCGCATGATCTGAAAACATTAACAGGTAGTAGGTCACTCTAGGGTGTCACTCATTTTTTAACAGCCATGTTTGTATGACCAATCCTTGGGACCACTTATCTTATCCCTGTCCATCAAATATTCCTCTACCTATTTCAGTTTTTCCAGCTATCACAGCTTTGGTCTATCTTGTGCACAAACCATTTAAAATTAACAATGTAGTCATCCCAGCCTTCTTTCTCCTGTTGTATTTTGGCAACCTGATCAAAAACTTTAAAAAGCTTACTCTCTCCAGATATTGTACTCCATTGTTTTCCTCCTAATGCTTTAATACTGTACATTGCACAGCAGAAACACTGGTCTATAATTTTGAGCTTTGTCCCGTTTTCTAGATTTTTTATCAAGTTCTATTTAAAACTTTTAGTTCACAAATGACAAAATACCTGCAGCCTCCTTCAGCTGCCATGGTAAGTTCAATCACATTGGTTTTGTTTAGTTCCTCCAAGCTGATTTTCCTTTTGGCATATATAACTATCACAGACAGCAACAGGTTCAACAAAATGTTTTGCCAATGAAATTGAATTTTCTGATAATACATCAGAAAATTCACTCCAAATGTTTGACACCATTTCTCTACTTTTGCAAAAGTTGACAACTCTCTGTCAAGAGCACAATTTAGTGGGCCTTTCCCTATTACACCCTACAATGTACATGTCAGTATGAGTAGATATGCTTAATGTTAGAAAGCCTTTAAGTGTGAAGATATTGTTAAAATGCTTAAACATTCAGTAAAATTGGATGCTTCAAGGCAGCTATAAACAGATCAAGAGTTGTCAAGACTCGTGCAAGTACTATACATTTTATATACACATACAAATCGTGATATTAATTTCAAAGAAAATGCTAACCTTAATGTATGCTCCACCACACTCTTGACCATTCTGCAAGTTGACTTCATACTGTACTACGAGAGGTTTTGTAGTGAAAGTAAAAGGTTTCTTTAGAGATGCAGCAATAGCTGCATGCTTTGCCTTGGATTTCAAAACCAGACCACGATCTCCAGCCAATGCCATACGCTCAGCAGGTTCAATAGCCCAAACCCCTAGAATGTTAAAATTAGTTTAAATACTTTTATACAGATATTAAAACTATTACATTCACAAAATTACACACTACTAGACCATCTATTATTTAAAACTGATAGTGTGGATTTTCAGTTGTTACTGTTCTAGCATATCCTTTCCTGCTACTTTATTCTGCATAACACAATAGCCCAAAACAATGCAGACCTCAAGGAACATCTGGAAATATGCAAGCTATTACTAGCTACATTGAAAGTAGTCACAGATTATGGCTAAAACTTTTATCATTAGCAATATCAAGGATAAGCTGAAAGCTACTTCACTTGTATTTTGACGAGTTCCTCCAATCTGCATACACAGCCCGTCCTCCAAAAATGGGGAGGTAAATGTAACAGCCCTATAAGTGCAATTATGTACTATGTATGGCAGTCAGGAAATATACTTATTACACTTAGTATTAAAACGTACTGTCAATTCGGAGGATGGGTTGGCATACAAGATAATAATCGTTGCCTTAATACTAAAAGCCTCAAAACTAGCAGCACCAGTAACTTAGATGTGTAAACATCAGTCAAGTTCGTACCCTGGAGAATAGGAGGGGGGGGGGGCCTTGTATTATCTCTAAGCAGGTTTCTTAACACTTACTGGTAGTACCAATTTTGACAGCATACCTATACTTATTTATCCTATTACAATTAACTACTACTACAACAAAACAGATGACAGGTCTCGGCTTACCAGCAGTCAATTTATAATAATAATAATAATGAATTGTGTCGGGGGAACAGGAAGCCACGTCATACATATAGTAACTGTTAGGCTTATACCGAGGTTCCCCTCCCCCCCCCTCTAGGGTTGAATTACCGACCCCATCCAGGATGAAACCCCACAACAAGCTGACTAACTCTTGGGTACCCATTTACTGCTAGGTGTACAGGGGGCATAAGGTGAAAGGAAACACACCCAACCATTTTTGTGCCGCCCGGGATTCGAACCCAGAATTATTGATTGCTAGTCGAGAACGAAGCTGATTACTACCAGGACCCTCACCAGTACTATCACTTCCTACTGGTTACCAAGTGACCAGATATAACTCGCTACTACCCGAGTATTTATTCATATCATCCAGGTTATTTTCATATACAGTAATACCTCTTAAATAATTTAGTATTAGATTGTAATTGTTAAATACTTATTATAGTCTTGTATTAAGAATGATTCACAGTTCAATGACAGCTAACAAAGTCAAGGTAAATTTGTCAAGATTGCTGTATTTTGTTATCTATAATCCTACTTAAGAATTGTTTACATACATGACTACAAAATAATCCATGTACATTATTTCACAACGATATTATTGCTACCTGGAGTTTTTCTACTCTGAGCCTGGCCCGAGGTCAGGCTCTGACACTTCTTGCTGTCCAAGGGCCTCTTGAATACATCCACCTTCGTTCCAGCAACATCTCTAATGTTTGCTGGGAGGGTGTTGAACAGCCGTGGACCCCAATGTTCAGACAGTGTTCTCTGATTGTGCCTATGGCACCTCTACTCCTCTCACTGGTTCTACTCTGCATTTCCTTCCATATCCACAAACTGGAAACGTATGGTTCACCCAAAGTGAGGCATGTGTTACCATTAGGAGCCAGGGCCCAAGTGTTAAAATGTAGGGAAAAACAAGTGTCTAAACAGATCCTTAGTAAGAAACAAGCAGTGAGCCACAACCTGGTCCTAGTGGTATGCCTGCAAAATGTAGGAAAGAGTATCCCAGAGAAGTCATCACTGCCTGACATTGCAATGGAAGGGGACTCCCCTTCCAAACAGTAACACCTCTCCTCCTCCCCCCCCCCCCCCCTCACTGTCTTCTATATGCCAACAAGAGTCCTCAATAAAGGTAAGATACATACTGTATTGTAGTCCAAAATGACTGGTATTCAGTATAAAATATATTTTTAAGTTAATATTTTTGGGGGATGTGGAACAGATTAATTCAATTTACATTATTTCTTATGGGAAAATTCGTTTCGACTTCCGACTCTGACTTTCGACCCATCTCTGGGAACGGATTAAATTCGTAAGTCGAGGCCCCACTGTTTAAGACGAGCATTTTTTCCAAAAGAATACTATAAAATAAATATGAATGCAATAATTTTAAGCCTGAAACATAGCCAAAGGGTAATGAGGAGACTATTTCAAATTTAAGGAAACTAGGGGGTAGTGTGCTGATGGGGAGAGAAATAAACCTGAACATTGTCACACCACAGAAGGTGATCCTTACAAACCCCACATTCTTATTAGTGCAAGTCATTAATACTGACCATCATATTTAGCAATGTCCTCATCAACGCCATCCTTTTTAGCTTCAGACTTGACCCAAGTATTTTCAAAAGCTGCCACATCATCAAATGTTTCCATGAGGTAAACACCTTCAATCATCTTTGGTGTAGCATAAATGACTTCCACTTCATCTTCCTCTTGCTGAAACAGAAAAGATTAAATATGAACACAGTTGTAATTGTTTTTCTTAGGCTAACTAATGCACAGTATCTGATTAGAGAAAAGAAAAAAAGGAAAATACATAATACCCTTCATGAAGTATGCATGTAGGCTTATGTGTAGTGATGACATTACCTCTCCCAGTACATTCCACTTCACCAGCCATACAGCACAAGAGTACATTGTACTCTAGTTTGAACAAAAAATTTTAATACCAAAGGCTGGATGTATCAGAAACCATTTTCCATGGGTTGACTAACACCAAACATTATTATTTTCAGTTTAAATTGAGGTTCTGTTTCTTGGTCTGGTCCTCGCCTTAAGTTTAACAATGTTGAGAAACACTGCAATGGGCCCTGGCTCCTAATGGTAACACATGCCTCACTTTGGGTGAACCATACGTTAACAGCTTGTGGGTCCTCTTACCCTTGTGCCAACAAGGGTAAGAGTAATAAATATTCTAAAATTGTAGAGTATTTAGGCATTTCAAATTTTAAATCCCCTTGCCATTCACCATCCATGACTGGCCATTCTTCCATGTACAGTATTTGGTTGTCTTCCCTTGGCCACCACATGTTTGGCACGAGCATATAAATACAGTAACCACTATTGGCATGTAATGGCTGCACCTGAAGTAATGGTAATTGCAAATTATTACAATATGGTAACTGTTTTATTACCATTTTTATAGCTTCAGCTTGCTTTTGTTAAAATTGAAAACCTGTGAAAACCACTAGATACCATCCCTTACAAGTTATACCAGTTAATATGAATGGTAACCAACTGCAATCGAGGCTGAAAATGCACAGGAAATATTTTAATACCGAGCACAAACATTCTGAAGCAATTTAACAGATCAATATACAGACCAAATATCAATTTAAGAATAATGCAATTTAACCATTGCAAAATTAAGCTATTGGGATTACAGCATAATTAAAATTTACTAAATTTATGGTATGACATTCAATAAATGTACAACCCAAGTATAAATAAAAAATTCTAAGTTTAGCAGTTGAGACTATTTAATGTAATCCTTGGTACAGTAATAGGATATACAATACACAATTTTATGAAGTTAAACAAAAATTAACATTAAAAGTGAAACATTAAATAGTGATGTTAAAATAAAATAACCTGCCCCCCCCATCAGAAAGCAGGGAACTGTTACCATCAGAAAAGCTCCCAGAAAAATAGGCAAGACAATAAATGGAACTGCATGGTTCAAGACAACCAAGCACCAAAGCAGCCAACACACACTGGAAGAGAATCACTCAAAACAAAATGGGTAATTCAAACCTGGGTACAAAACACACCCCTTAACAAATCAGATACAGCATAAACCTATAGTTTTATTACTAGCATTAAGACTTACAAACTTGGTCTAAGCTTTTCTGCCACCATTATAGGAACCTTTATTTCAAAAACCAATTAAATTTAACATTACAATTCTTGGGTATCAAAATGCTCAGATAACCAATTCACCATGGCTTAATAAAAGTAGCAAGATTTGTACTTTATTTCAAATTTAAAAATCTAAACTAGGCTACAGCAGAAGTTCTTCTACTGACCTATCCATTTTACTCCCAAGGCAATGCTGAATAATTTGTACTGGCTTAATACTCTACTGATGATAAACTTAATTACCCCAAAACAATGTGGAAAAGCAATTAAAGGGAAAGGAGGGCAAAGGACGAGGGCACAGCTGGGTACCCCATCTATTGGGTTATAAAATGTACTGTACTTACTAATTTCTCCTCCGTGACTGATACTTCATCGTCGTCATCAGCTACAACTCCACATAGCAACAGGAAACCTACTAGAAGTACTGCTAACACACACTTCTGCCGTCTCCTCGTCATTTTTGTCTGGAAAAAAACAAAAATAAAAACTAGTTAAACTATTGGGTTTATACATTGACATAATTTGTAAGACAAGGTTGGATGGCAGCGGATTTTACTGTGTTTGTATAGTATTCTGTAAACAAACCAAGAGCAGCAGTGTACACCTGATCTTGGCAAGCAGCAAGGTGCGGCTGCGAAATTTATGTAAAAGTGGCACATACCTACATGAATGCAGCAGTACCTGTAAATTATGTACTGCAAAATTTGTTAAATTATAACAGCAGCATCAGTAGCCGCAGTAGTACTGCTCTGTTCACCCCACTTCCCTTGTTTACAGTTACAGACAAGCCTCTCTGGCAACAGCTACCCAAAATGATAAAATGAGCAATATAGCAAATGAGAATATTAAGAGAAACCTCACCATTGTTTTGTGATTTGATCCTTACCAAAATTACCCATTTTCTGAAGGTAAAGGTACTTATTAAAGGTAATAGTAAGTAAAGGTAATAGTGGCTTTAGGCATTGTATGTACTAGCTCTATCTATATATCAATCCATTAATGTAACATCACTTGTATGTATATACCTTACCTGAATAAACATCTGAATCTGAATCTGAATCTATTAGGAGAGTACCAAGCCATTACAGCAACATAGTACTTAAAGAGGGATTTGAGGATAAGGATAGGATGGCAGAAAGAAATACTGAACAATCATTTTGATGGTCAGGGATTGAACACCAACCTGAATGAGGCGACAGTTGCACTACCATCCAAAACGCCTGAACGAGGCGAGACCATCGCTCTAACATTGCTTTCAATGGGCCACAGATAATATGATTAATGAAAATAAGTTCCAGCTCCTGCGCTATTGAAAAAATGAAAATTTAAAGACGGAAACCATATACAGTACATAAAATGGAATCAAATCACATTATAGAACAAAAAAAGCAATGTAAAGGATCTAGGAGTAATGTCAGAAGACCTTACTTTTAAAGAACACCATAAAGTAGCTGTCACAGTTGCAAGAAAAATGACAGGTTGGATAACAAGGAATTCCAAACAAGGGATGCCATATCAATGATGCTTTTCAAGACACTAGTGCTCTCTAGGGTGGAATATTGTTGCACACTAATAGCCCCATTCACAGCTGGAGAAATTGTTGACCTAGAGAGCATGCAAAGATCCTTTACCGCTAGAATCCACTCTTATAAGTCATCTTAATTATTGGGATCGATTAAAAGTTCTAAATCTGTATTCTCTAGAGCACAGGCAACTGATACATAATCTACAAGTGAAAGATATTAGGAGGACTAGTTACAAATCTGAACATGGAGATTACATGAAACCAGTAGGCATGGCAGGATGTGCAAAGTACCCCAGTTGAAAAGCAGAGGTGTAATAGGTACACTGAGGGAGAACTATTAACATCAAGGGCCCAAGACTTTTCAACTCTCCCCCACTACACAAAGAGGCATAACTGACCGGCCTCTCTCAGTGTTCAAGAGAACTCGACAAACTCCTGCAAAGAATACCTGATCAACCAGGCTGCGAGCAGCCATGTCAAACAGCCTGGTTGACCAAACGACCAACCAGAAGACATGGTCGGAGACTGGGCCACAGGGCCATTGATTCCCAGAAGCTACAGAAGGTAGCCACAGCCCAACCTAACCACTGCACCAACAGCCCACTAGAACAAGTAAACATTCTCCTTGATCAATGGGCACTAACATCAAATTATAACTCGTTCCCAATTAACACACAAACTTAATGACATGCCCCGACAGACAACAAACCATCAATCTTGCCTGTACAGCCATTGGTGTGTTGGATCAAATGATTTAACTGAATAGGAATTAAATCATGCACTAAAGATGGGCAAATCAACTGCTCCTGGAGAGGACGGTATTACTTACAGTTTACAGAGATTAGTCTAACAAGTACTAGGTAAGCCACTCTTAGCGTTATACAGAATGAGTAAGTGAAGGAGTATTACCTAATGCTTTGACAAAGTGTCACTGTTCCTATCCCCAAACCACATTCCTATAATTAGACCCACATCTCTAACATCGTGTTTTTGTCAAGTGCTTTAACATTGTTCAACAGACTCGTGTATCTTTTACAGAGGCAACTGTCATCCAAACTATTTGGAGTTAGGTTTGGGCTCAGTACACAACGCTGTTTTTCTAAATACTTCACTCATTGAAACTTCCCCCTCAAGCAGTTTTCATTGACCTAGCAGCAGCTTTTGACACAACAAACAGGGAAATCATACTAAAACACCTTGCTGAGCTAGGAATCCAAGGGAAATTACTGAAATGGAAAGAGGGCTATTTGTCTAATTGAACAGCATATGTTTTGTTTAATAGTGTTAAAAGCAAAGAGTAAACGCCTTGAACTGGAAACTCCAAAAAGTCTTCAATCCCTTGTTGTTCAACATTCAAATGCATAAACCTTTTAAAGCTCTTCCAACTAATAATGAAGACAGTCATTTGTTATGCAGATATGTAAACTTGTGCCCTCATTCCATGTGGTATTCCACCACCCAATTATCATATAGATGGGCGACCACTTGAGAACTGCGAGACTTACAGATACCTTGGTGTCTCCATTAACGACCCAGGGTACCTTTCTTCTCTCAAGATGAGAGACGAAGAGATCAAAGCCCTTGCGGGGTCTTTGTTGGTGCCAATCGGAATTAACGCGAGACTTGCTAGAATGTTCTATGAATAATTTATAAACTGACTACAATGCTCTACACCTCTCACTGTATACTGACAGCTAAAATCCCTTGAAACTATGCAAAATGAAGCTATACGTCTCATCCCTGGGGGCGCCAAAGTTCATGAGAATAGTTAATGAGAGCCGAGTTAAAATGACCTACAATAAGTGAGAATTTTGTCCATTAGTACAGTTTTCTGTGTGAAGGCATTGAGTAGATCTCTGCAACACATGAAATTTCAAGCTTAACTTTCTAATATGCTACACTTACCTGAGGTCTATAGAACATCAAAATATTAAGTATATACCAAACTCAATGATTAATCAACCAATTAATCCATGGGGTAACTGGGATCTATCAGTTGATTTTGTAAATGCACCCAAGGAAGTGTACACTCTACATTATTAAAACAGTTGACACTGAAAAGCTACAATCACGGGGACCTAGCAGGGGATCACCAGAATAACAGAGGGTAGACAAGAACGAAGGGGCAGACTCCCCCCCCCCCCCCCACCAGGCAACAAACAAAAAAAAGAAACTCCACAAAAGTATGTCTCCAGGAGGAACAGAACCGGCCTCTGTAATAGATGACACGCTGCACAGTACCTTGCGCCCTATCAGTGACGATACCACCTTCTACCCAAGGTCTTCAGGGAAAGTGAAAACCCCCTGCTGACCCCAAGGGCAGGCAATCACCGAGCAGCAAAAGATCCCTACGAAGGTGGTTCCTGAACGACTTTAGAAAGACAACCCCAAGCGGTAAGGGCAGTACTGTATTTACAGGGCACCTTGGGAAGATGGCCTTAGACCCATGCAGCCCCAGTACACCATGACTTACTCCTGGCTCGCACACCACCACACAGCAGAACATCGGATAGGTGCAGCACAGCACAAACAGGAGCCAGAGTCGAACAACCGCTACACAACACAACAGCCTCAGAACTGAGGTTGGGTAGCCAGCGCAAGGGGTCTGGGGCGCCCCTTCCCCTTCCCAGGGAGGGGGGGAGCTGCGCAGACAGTGGTGGTTTTGACGTCATGCTTGTTTGCAGATTGTGGAATTCCGCTTGATAGTTCAGTTTTCAGTAGAAATTTTCACCGGGTTGAGTGTTAAGACGCCTACCTTTCTGGGTGCCTAATCTGATAGATGGCAGACACAGAATGCTTCCAACCACATGGGGTTTCTATAGGCCATTACTCTTTGTGCCTCTGAGGGGGGCCAAGGTTGTGGCTCGTGGTCCCAGGTAGGCCAAGAACTCCAATCGAATTGACTTATGCCACAGTCTAATATATACACATCAGCCCAGTATAGCTCTGGGGAGGCAGAGGGTCTCTCCACAGAAAGCTACAATGTAGGACTGAGAACAGAGGATGTATTTTCACCCACAGGGTTATAAACCCTTGGAACCGCCTACCCGCCGAAGCCATAAATGCCAAAATTGTGTTAGGTTTTAAAATCTATGTGGAAAAGAGCGAGGCAAATGAGGGGGAAGAGGCCTTCGTCAAGCTGCCGGCTTCCTGTCCTTGTCGAGGCCACTAGAGTTAGTGGCCCTCAGGTAAATCATGTAAAAACTTTAACATTATCTTGAATGATTGATTTATGCTCATCAGTTAGCCATTTTTTAAAGTGAAGTAGTATAATTACATGAATAAATAAATGAAAATATTGTACATGTGCACTATATTAGTGGTCTGCCAATTTATAATTGGCCGCACGAGTAAACACTTCCTTGCCCTCCTATCTCCAGCTCAGGGCCCCACCCCGTCAACAGAGTAAACACAATCAAATCATGCGAGCGTAAGGTCATTGAGGACTTGAGACCACTGGTAGGAGTTTCTCACCCCCACCCATACAATATTGTACTCTATTTGGCTGCTGCACAGACGTTGGCACTGCCACAAAAGTGGACTCGCACTCCAATGAGTCAGTACTGTACAATGATTTTATGCATGAAGGGGGGGTATATAGGAACCTGGGAGAATGTTCGTATGGGCAAAGGTTCATAAGGCAAATGTTCGTAAAGCGAGAATCCCCCTCCCAGTATATGCAGTGCCATAGTTTATGATGGCCAAATTTTGAGGGTTAATCTTGGTAGCTGCCTGCATAGACAAGTTGGAAAATGTATTGTCAACATTCAGTGCCTAAATGGAGTTAATTATATTTCTTTTGTAGTAAAGGAACCAAATGCATCCAAGAATTAGTTAACACGAAGTTAAACCCATTTTTATTTGTTTTATTTTATTTATATATACAAGAGTTTTTACATTCTTGTACAGCCACTAGCACGCGTAGCATTTTGGGCACGTCCTTAACCCTAATTTCCCCCGGAATATGACCCACCAAATTGTTTAACAACCAGGTACCCATTCACTGCTGGGTGAACAGAGGCTACAGTTAAGGACTGGAACCCAGTCAATCCTCCCCAGCCAGGATACGAACCCAGGCCAAAGCGCTCGTGAAGCGCCTGGCGAGTTTTACCACTGTGCCATTGGGACTAATTAAACACCTTCATTGTCACTCCAACACCCCATAGGAGAGCAAAGCCTTTACATTCAACACTATTCATCCTAGAAGTCCATTGGGTTACTAGGCTGCCCTGGTACAGTACAGCACTGCATGCAACATGTCAACAATTACTGGTACTTTAAGTTTACTAGTTTTCCTAACTAATCAAAAGTCAGACTAACCAAAACCAGCTTAACAATATAATTTTTAAAAACTTATTAATTAGAAACGCCTGCCAAACACCCGTGTACAATTTGATCACCTCTTTCCCCACTACTCTCCAGGATATATAGTAGTGACCCAAACACCAGGGGCAGTAACACTAATAACGGAAAATTCCCTGACTTGTATAATGAACAACAGAAACAAGTACTGTAGATACAATGAAGTAAACTGAACTCTGTAAAAAATAAGCAAAACTACACTAACTCAAACATGGTAGTTCAAGCATTTATTAGTAACTAGAAAATGGAATTTACAAATAATTCTACACTCATACTGGGTATGACGTCTGGCGGCTGGGTACAGGAAATCTGTTAAGGTTTATGGAGGCCCTATTAGTGAGTGGGGAGGCCGCGGGCACCCGTCCACTGCTGGCCACACCTAAAGCACTTCACCAGCCCTTGCTAAACATGTCCAGTAAATGAAAATAGCATCGGCCATCTCTGCTAGTCTCAACAGTCTCAACGATCACCCAGTACACATCCCACCTGAAGGTGAAAGTCACTTTCAAGGGTCAGTATTGATGATGATGCTAAGGCAAGTAAGGAGGGAGTGTGAGATGAGATGAGGAGAGAAGCGGCAGACATGAGCCAGCATAGTCATGGTGTCACGCCAGCAGACGACGCGCCACTACCGGTCTGCTGGCTCTTCCCCCCCTCCCGCACACTTCCCTCCTGCAGGAGGCAACAAGGCCCTCCCTGGCCGCCAGACACCCATGGCGGCCGCCAGGGAGCACGACCACGGCATACCTACAGGGTAGCACGGTGTCTCGTCACGCGAATATTCACTGGCGGCGAGGAGAGCAGCGTGTCGCCCACCCAACACTAGCGTCAAAACACAACTTTGAAGTCCCTGGACTTCCTGAGCGCGTGGTTGTTCCTGATTCGTCGGCCACCGCCCATACAGGGTGTTACCGAGCCTCTCATTGGTCGACACTTTACCAAATTACTTCCTTAGTTCTGATTGGCTAGCAGACGACAGTTGACACTACTCAACGTCCTCTTTTATTCCCGCAAAATAGAAAATGAGACCAGTTCATATTAGCATGGATAACTGCTCTCCTGAGGTTCATTCCCTGGTACTCGACATTTCATTATAAATATATGAAGTATAATAAATCCCAAATTATGTAGAGTTTGGAAAACATTATTTATCAATTATACATACTTTTCTTAAAATATTGTTCTTACTTGTCACCTGCAAGATAACGCAAGTCTGAGGGTTGGTCAATAGCGCGCAAGCAAATGCAGTCCTTCCTCAAGAGAGTGCAAACGGCTAGACAAGAATATTGCAAACCCCATTCATCAAATTTGCAAATGACGATATCTATGGCAAAGTGGGAAGCGAAAAATTATATTGAAGCCTTACAAAGAGATCTACATGAACTCCACAAATGGTCGGAAGACTGTCCAACGTTCTTTAATATTGAAAAATGTAACACTGCATATAGGGCACAATATACACATCACAACTAACAAATCAACAACACTAACATGCAGGAGATTGATGAAGGAAAGGGCCCTGGAGTCAGAATTCACCACTCACTGAAAAATGCACAAATGCGATGAGGGCTACACGACTTTCATCACTGAAAACCAGACATAACAGGACTGACCTCACCAAAACTTGTAAAATGTTGAACAATTTGAAGGATATTAATCCACACCACTTTAAAAAGTAAAATGTAACATATATTTACCTGAGAGGTACTAACACTAGTGGTCTCGAGGAGGACAGGAAGCCGACGGTTCGTCAAAGTCTCCCTATTTGTCCTGGTGAATTTTTCAAGCAGGATTTTTAAAGTTCAGCAGTTTTGGCATTTATAGTTTCAGCGGGTAGGCTGTTCCACGAGTTTATTAATTTTTTTAGATTTTTAGATTTTTAGATTTTTAGATTTTTTATTCAGGTAAGGGTACATACATTGAGTTACAAGTATATTTACATACATATTGTTGGATTTAATTCATTGGAATTAATTCAATAATAATTCATTGTCTCGTGGAACAGGAAGCCAGAGTGTATTCATATACACCTTAGGCTTTTAACGATGTCACAAGGTTGAATTACTGACCCCGCTCAGGTTGCAACCCCACAAGAAGCTGACTTAATTCCTAGTACCTACTTACTGCTAGGTGAGCAGGTGCATTAAGGGAAAAGAAATGTGCCCAACCATTTCTGTCCCGCCCAGGATTCGAATCCCGAATTCTTCAGTGTGCATCGAGAACGAGCGCGACTGTATTACCAGGACCCTTGAATGTATAAACCTGTGGGTGAGAAACCTGTTTTCGGTCCTACATTGTGGCTTGTTGAGCTTGAAACCGTTTGTAGTGAGTAAACAATTTACTCGCTCCAAAAAGCGAGAGTAACCCCAGTCCATAAATGTGGTGATCTCACTGATGTCAATAACTTCAGACCTATATAAACTCTGCCAAACTTGTCAAAAATATTTGAAAAACTAATCTACAAGCAGTTTTACTCTTATCTAGCCAAACATAATATATTTAGCTTTTGCCAATATGGCTTCAGATCCAAAAAAGCACTAACGATGCACTTATTAGTATGATTAACTTGATACATGCAGCTCTTGATAAAAATGAGTTCCCTGTTGAGGATAATCCTTGGGTGCCCTCGTACCACAAAGATACTTAATATGAGAAAGGAACTTAATATTCTGAGCGTTGTTGATCGTGTTACTGAAATTAACTGTCAAATTGGTATAAAAATGCTTAGGCTAACTCATCCTAACCCCTGCACAGAAGCCCTCTGGAATTTCTTTATTGGAGATCAGCATTGTTCCAAATTGATAACTAAAATTGGAACTCAACTCAGAATGTATCAGGTTCACAATTTGTACCAAGAGAAACAACAACGGTACTTTCCTGCACCGTGGGAGATTACACCCTTTCCAATTTTAATCCCTCCCTTTCCACCCAAGAAGCAAATTAGAGATCAGCCCAAGCTTCGCCTTGAGGCAAAGCTCAACACCTTAAGCCATATTGATGCTCTCTCCACAGAGCATTCTCTCTCTTTAAATCATATACACTGATGGTTCCCTACACCGCACCACGGGTGCAGCTGGAAGTGCAGTTGTTCTGACAATGGGCGATGGCTTGTACTTTGAGTGGGGAGTCCGTATAAACAACTGGCCCTCTACCCTTCAGACCAAACTATTTGCCTTGATCCTTGCACTGAATTGTGTACATGTCTCCAAACTTGATACATTAATTGTAAGTGACTCCTTATCATCCTTAATTGCTCTCAACTCTGATTTTAACTCAACTCAACTCTTAATTGCTCGACATAACTGTAACATGCTCGCGTCCGAAGCTAGACACAAATACAACAAAATTATTAAGGATGGTAACAGAGTCCATTTCGTGTGGTCTCCATCTCATGTTGGCCTCCGAATGCATGATAGAGCTGATAAGTTAGCCAAAGAATCTGTCTTTAAAGGAAACGTTGAGTGTAACCTTGGATTGTCAGTTAGCAATCTGAGAGCAGCAGTACACCGAGAACTTCAACAAGATCTTGTAGCTCTGAGGCAAAGTGAAATCGACACCAGTAATTAGTTCCATCTATCATCATACGATCATGCAAGAGGAGCCACACATCTATGGTTCATCCAATAAAATCAGCAGACTTCTAGATGCTACTACTGCTCGGCTTAGACTAGGTTACAAGTATCTCTGGGAATTCTCATTATCTGCCGATGTAGACCTGACCAAATGTAAACTGTGTCAACAAAATTATTCGCACATCCTCCGTCACTATGTGATGGAGTGCGAAAAGATACGTGAATTCACAGACAATTATATAACCAATGTACCAACGATGTGTCAGTATTTCATTCAAAATGATCTGCTACCAGAAATTTTAACCAATATCCCCAGTTTGCTAACTATAGGTAGTAACTAAGAGTGATTGTAACCAATCCACCGCTCCTCACTGGATGGGAGGCGGTGTGCAGGACAATCAGACCCCAAAAAAGCACTAACGATGCACTTATTAGTATGATTAACTTGATTCATACAGCTCTTGATAAAAATGAGTTCCCTGTTGGGTTATTTGTGGACCTGCGTAAGGCTTTTGACACTGTCAACCACCAAAACCTTCTTCTTAAATTACATCATTATGGAGTCAGAGGACACTCCCTGCAATACCTCAAATCTTACCTTACTGACAGGCTCCAGTATGTTTCTGTGAATAATTCAATTTCTCCCACCCTACCCATCAACATTGGTGTTCCTCAGGGCAGCATACTTGGCCCTCTCCTCTTTCTCATCTACATTAATGACCTTCCAAATGCCTCCCAACACCTCAAACCAGTTCTATTTGCTGACGACACAACCTTCATTTACTCCAGTCCTGACCCCCTTGCTCTAAATGCCACAGTAAATACTGAGCTAAATAAAGTCCATCTTTGGCTAACTGCCAACAAACTCACCCTTAACATTGACCAAACTTTTTATATTCTGTTTGGCAATAAATCCTCTAATCAAATAAATCTCAAAATAAACAATACCCAAATTTGTAACAAAGTAGATGGCAAGTTCCTTGGCGTTCTCATTGACCACAAGCTGAATTTCCAGGGACACATTCTAAATATATCAAAAAAAGTTTCAAAAACTGTTGGCATTCTTTCTAAGATCAGATATTATGTACCCCGCCCTTCCCTGGTGACTCTCTATTACTCCCTCATCTATCCATATCTCAACTATGGTATTTGTGCTTGGGGTTCTACTACCCAAAATCATTTACGTCCTCTAATTACTCAACACAAAGCTGCTATTAGGACAATATCCAACTCTGGCCCCAGACATCACTCGGTACCCCTACTCAAATCTCTGAATATGTTAGATATTAAGTCACTGCACATTCTCTCATGTGTATTATACATATATAAAACGCTGAACTGTAATGCCAATCCTGACCTCAAAAGCTTCATTGAAGGTTGTAACAGAACCCATGAGCACCACACCAGAAATAAATACAGTTTTGATATTCCAAGAGTACGACTTAATCATACTAGAAATGCTCTACAAATCAAGGGACCCAGAATGTGGAATGACCTTCCCAACCATGTTAAAGACTGTACCTCTCTCAACCAGTTTAAGATAAAAACGAAGCACTACTTAATAAATTCCCTATAACCTACCTTACCCCTCTATTGTCAACCCATGTCTGTTTTTTTTAAACAACGCTGTTTGTCGACCTAATTGTATTTGTGCTGCTTTTTCAGCTATGTTTCCCCCTCTTTTATCTCTATTTTTATTTGTTCTCAACACATTTTATTCTTTATACCCAATTAGTATTAAGCTTTAGTCATTAATGTTTTTCCTGCCCGAAACGCTTTGCGTAATAGTGGCTTTAGGCATTGTATGTACTAGCTCTATCTATAAATCCATCAACCTTTGTAAAATCTCTTGTATGTATGTACCTTACCTAAATAAACATTTATTTATTATTTATTTATATTTACATATCAATTGTGACACTAGCTCTCCACATATGTCAGTTGCTTAATTTAGAAACTGTACTTGAGGTCGATCTCGAACCCATTGTTGATGTGACGACTTATACTGAATTTTGTAACTAGCTCATCAAGATTGTAACTTGCTTAGCTAAATTAATTGTGGGGTTCAGTCCCTGAGCCCATTATGTGCCTCTGTAACCCTTTCCACTACCGCCCACAAGATGGGTATGGGGTGCATAATAAATGAACTAAACTAACATGTCGTAGCTTAGTCGATTAAGGCAGCGTCTGGGATCCTCTCGGGCGTAGGTTCGAACCCTCGTCACGACCCTTGTGGATTTGTTCATTTGATGCATGACGCTATTGTGATTTCTGTGTGTAATGAAGTACGGGCGAAGAGGTAGAACAGCCTATTGACATAGCTCAAATGCATAGGGAAATTGCGTAAAACCCTAGTTTTTGT